GAGAGTTTCTGAGTACTTTTTGTTTTTTGTTTAAAAAAATTTTTTTAAATATTTATTTTGAGAGAGAGCGAGAGAGCAGGGGAGGGGCAGAGAGAGAGAGAAAGAACCTCAAACAGGCTCCATGCTGCCAGGGCAGAGCTCAGTGTGGGGCTTGAACTCATAAACCGTGAGATGATGATGACCTAAGCTGAAATCAAGAGTCAGTCACTTAACTGACTGAGCCACCCAAGCACCCCTGAATAAAAAATTTTTGTATTACATTTTGCATCTTTGCAATTACTTGGCCAGAAAAAAATACCACTTAAATTACTCACTGATGACTAACATTTATAACGAGAGTATGTAATGTTATCTCAGTAATTTTTAAAATGACGAATGATGTAAATCAAAGGATTCAACAGACTGTAAAATTATTTCTATGTTTTATTTGCTTTTCATAGCAAAGCAGTTTTGGTATCTTCCATTGTTCTACTAAGACATTTGAATATTGGTTCATATACTTGAGTCCTGTTACACTTAAAAGCTGCAACTGGCTGTTCTATCAGCTTTCCTCCATTGAATTAATGATGGCAAAATACATTTATTTCATTGAAAGCAATTCCAAGTTACCCCTTTCATTATGGGTCAAATGGAAGTGTTAGCCAATCTTCACAAGAATCTTGATTTTATGACACACACAATACATTTTAGGTTCATATTAAATAATCTTCTCAAAGTTAATTTTTTCATTTTTTAGGAAATAACGGACTTTATTTTTTTAGAACAGGTTTAGGATTACAGAAAAATTGAGTGCAAAGAAAAAAGTTCCCATAAAGCCCCTTCCACACACAATTTCTCCTATTATTAACATCTTGCACTAGTATGGGACATTTGTTACAACTGATAAGCCAATATTGGTACATTGTTTTTTTAAATTTTTTATGTTTATTTTTGAGAGAGACAGAGACAAAGCGCAAGCGGGGGAGGGACAGAGAGAGAGAGGGAGACACAGAATCCGAAGCAGGCTCCAGGCTCTGAGCTGTCAGCACAGAGCCTGATGTAGGGCTCGAACCCATGAACCGTGAGATCATGACCTGAGCCGAAGTCGGACACTCAACCGACTGAGCCACCCAGGCGCTCCGATACATTATTTTAAAGTCCACAGTTTACATTAGGGTTAACTTTTATGTCATACAATGGATTTTGACAAATTTATCCACCATCACGGTATCATGCAGAATAGTTTCACTGCCGTAAAAATCCTGTGTGCTCTCATCTATTCATCCCTTCCTCCCCCTAATCCCTGGCAACCAGTATTTTGTCTCCATAGTTGTAACTTTTCTAGAGTATCATACAGTTCAAATCATGTAGCACGTAGGCTTTTCAGACTGGCTTCTTTCATTTAGCAATATGCATTTCAAGTTCCTCCGTGTCTTTTTGCAGTTTGATAACTTAGTTCTTTTTAGTGCTGAATCATAGTCCATTGTATGGATGTACCATACATATTTATGCAATTATCTATTGATGAAAATCTGGGTTGCTTCCAAGTTTGGGCAATTACAAATAAAACTATCATAAACATTCATGCACAGGTTTTGTGTGGACATAAGTTTTCAATTCATTTGGATAGATACCAAGGATTGTACACTTTGTTTTGCAAGAAACCGCCCAGCTGCCTTCCCAAAGTACCATTCTGCATTTCCACCACCAATGAATGAGAGTTCCTGTTATTCCACATCTTCTCCAGCATTTGGTATTGTCAGTGTTTTGGATTTTAGCCATTTTAATAAGTGTGTGGTAGTGTCTTACTGTTTAAATTTGCAATTCCCTAATGATATGTTGAGCATCTTTTAATGTGTTTATTTACCAACCGTACATCTTCTTTGAGGAGGTATCTGTTATCTTTTGCCCATTTTTAAATTTAGTTGCTTTCTTATTGTTAAGTTTTAAAAATTCTTTGTATATTTTGGTATCAGTCATTTTTCAGATATGTTTTGTAAAGATTTACTTCCAGTCTGTGGCTTAATTTTTGTGAAAGGTTTAAGGTCTGTGTCTAGATTCATTTTGTTGCATGTGGATGTCCACTTTTTGTTCCAGCATCACTTGTTAAAAATACTACCCTTTCTCCATTGAATTGCCTTTTTTCCTTTATCAAAGACCAGTTGACTATCTGGGTCTATTTCTGGGCTGTCTATTCTGCTCCATTGATATAATTGTTTATTCTTTCACCAATACCACAATCTTGATTCCTGTAGCTTGAGAGTAAGTCTTAAAGGTGGGTAATAACTGTCCTCCAACTTTGTTCTTCTTCAGTATTATGTTGGCTATTCTAGGCCTCTTGTGTCTCCATATAGACTTTTAGAATCACTTTTTCAATAACCACAAAATAACTTCTTGGGATTTTAATTGGGATTGTATTGAATCTGTAGATCAAGTTGGGAAAAAATGACATCTTGACAATACATGAACATGATCTCTCCATTTATTTAGTTCTTTGATTTCTTTCATCAGATCTTATACATATTTTATTAGATTTATACCTAAGTATTTAATTTTTTTTGTACTAACATAAGTGTTATTTATGTTTTTAAAGTTCCAACTGCTCATTGCTGTTATACTGATATTGGTAATTTGTGTCTTCTGTTTTCTTAACTAGCTAGAGGCTTTTTGTTGATTTTGTTGATCATTTCAAAGAACCACCTTTCAGTTTCATTAATTTTCTCTGTTGATTTCCTGGTTTGAATTTCATTGATTTATGTTCTCATTTTTATTATTTATTTTCTTCTGCTTCTTTTGTGTTTAATTTGCCATTCCTTTTCTAGTTTTTTTACTGCGGAAGTGGTTTGATTACTGATTTTAGATCTTCCATTCAATGCTGTACACTTCCTGCTAAGCATGGCTTTCATTTCATTCCACAAACTTTGTGTTATATTTTCATTTCATTTAAAGTGTATTTAAAGCTCTCTTGAGTATTCCTTGGCCCATGTATTATTTACAAGTGTGTTTAATCTCCAAATATTCTTTGAGGGTTTCTAGTTATCTTTCTGTTTTTGATTTCCAGTTTAATTTCATTGTAGTATGAGAGCATACTGTGTATAATTTTTGTTGTTTTCAATTTGTTAAGCTGTGTTTTATGGTTCAGAATGTGGTCTATCATGGTGAATGTTCTCCATGAACTTGAGAAAAATGCATATTCTGCAGTGGGTCTATTAATTGCTGATGGACAGATTTTGAATTCTTTAACTATTCGTCTATTTTTTTTTTCCTTGCACTTCTATCACTTTTTGCCTTATGTATTATGGTGCTCTGTTGTTAGGTGCATATATGTTAAGGATTGTTATGTTTCTTAGAGAATTGACCTCATTATCATTTTGTAATGTCCCTTTTTTATCCCTGACAACTCTCCTTGCTTTGAAGACTTCTTTAAATTAACAGTTATCCCACTTTCTTTTAATTAGTGTTAGCATACTATTTCTTTCTCCCTCTTTTTATTTTTAATTTATATGTGTCTTTATATTTAAAGTGGGTTTCTTATAGACAGCATATAGGTGAATCTTGTTTTTGTTTTTGTTTTTTTTAAATCCACTCTGACAATTTCTGTCTTTTCATTGGTATATTTAGAGTATATATTAGAGGATGTCTAAAGTGAGTATTGCTATAACTGGATTAATATCTACCATATTTGTTACTGTTTTCTATTCTTACCCTTGTTTTTTGTTTCTTCTATTGTCTTTCACTCTATTTCTGGATTTTCTGCTTTTAACTTAACATTTTATGTTATTCCATTTCTCTCCTTTCTTAGTGTATCAATTATACTTCTTTAATATTTTTTTTTCAGTGGTTGCACTGGAGTTTGCAATGTACATTAACTACAAATCCAAGTGCGCTTTCATGGAACACTGTACCACTTCATGGGGAGTGGAAATACTTTGTAACAGAGTATCCCACTTCCTCTGCTCCCATCCCTTATAACATTGCTGTTATTCATTTCATTGATCCATTAGCTATAATCACTGAATACACGTGGCTACTTTTATTTTGAACAAACTGTTAATCTGTTAGATCAATTAAGAATACAGGAAACAAAAGATTTTTATCTTCATTTATTGTTTCTCTAATGATTGTCCTTTCTTTACATAGACCTCAGTTTCTGACCCATGTGACTTTCATTTTCTCTGCAGAACTTTTAACATTTCTTATGAAGCATAAATTGGCAAAAAAATTCCATAAACTTTTGTCTATTACGAAAGTCTATTTCTCCTTCACTTTTGAAGAAAATTTCCATGGACACAGAACTATATGTTGGTGGGTTTTCTCTCTCAACATTCGAAATATTTCATTCCTTTCTTCCTGCTTTCATGGTTTCTAAAGGTCTGATATATTTCTTATCCTAGTTCCTCTACAGATAAGATTTTCTTTCTTTCTGGCTTCTTTCAAGATTTTCTCTTTGCCTTTGATTTTCTGTAATTTGAATATGGTATACCTAGGTGAAGATTTTTTTCTGGCATTTAACCTGCTTGATGATCTCTGATCTTCATGATCAGTAGTTTTGTGTCATTAATTCTTCAAAATTCTCAGCCATAATTACTTCACCCAGCTTCTTTCTTTTCATTCTGATATTCTCATTGCACATATATTACATTTAAAAAATTTTCCCCACAGTTCTCAGATATTCTGTTGTTTTGCATTCTTTTTTCTCTTTGCATTTCAGTTTTGAAAGTTTCTGTTGACATTGCTTCAAGTACACAGATTTATTTTTTCTCAGCCATGTTCAGTCTATTGATGAGCCCATCAAAGGAATTCTTCATTTCTGTTACAGTTTCTTTGATTTCTAGTATTTCCATTTGATTTTTTCTTAGGGTTTCCATCTCTCTGCTTATAGTACCCCTCTGTTCCTACATGTTGTCACTCTTTTCATTAGAGCCTTTAGGGTAGTAATCATAGTTGTTTTCAATTTCCAATCTTATAATCATCCTATCTGAGTCTGGTTCTGATGCTTGTTCCATCTTTTCAAACTGTGGTTTTTTTTAGTATGCAGTATAATTTCTTGTTGAAAAATGGAAGTGATGTAGCAAGTAAAAGGAACTGAGGTAAGTGAGTCTATAGTGTGAGGTTTTATGTTTACCTGGCTAAGAGCTGGACTGTGTTTACTGCCTGCTGCAGCTGTAGATGTCACAGGCTGAAATTTCCTCTGCTGTTCTTGTTTTGTCTCCTTCGTTGTCTTCGGATTTCCCTACATACTTTTTCTTAAGTAAAGCCAAATATGAGTTCTTCCAGTTGTAATCTCGTTATTATGCAGGCACCTTGTTGATGTGGTAAGGTATGTGTGGGGGAGAAGAGTTCCGCAGTCCTGTGATAAGGTTTCGGTCTTTTACTGAGCTCTGCCTCTAGGGGGTGACCTTTACAAGTGCTTCTCAGACTTTTTTCTCCTCTTTAGGTGAGAGGAGTAAAAGCAGAGGGGGCTGGAGTTGGGTATTTCCTTTCCCCCAGGTCAGTGAGGCTCTGATAATATCCCAGCAAGGTTAGACTCTGGTAAAACAGTTTCCCCTGAGGAAACTTCCTAAGAAGAAGAGCGCGCGGTGTATTTCAAAATGGCTACTTTCCCCCTCCTCCTGCTAAAAAGCAGGGGAGAATTTTCAGAAATATTCACTATGAGGAGCTCCTAGGGCTCCTGGAGCTAAAACTCACAGAAGTGTGGGGGCCTCTTAAGAATGGACTCCTGCTAGCGTTTTTAATTCTCAAGTTTGTCCACACCAAGCCTTTGGCAATTCTTCAATTAGTTTAAGTTCTCCTACTCAGATGCTGACTGAGTGCTTTCTGCTCCTGAGACCCTGATCTGGTAAAATCTGAGACTCTTTGTACCTGACTGTCTCTCTAATTTCTGGGCAGTGGTTTGCCCTGTGACTTCAGTTCTCTGAGGGATTTAAAGAGAGTTGATGATTTTGAGTTTGTCCAGTCTTTTTCTTGTTACAGGGATGGAAGTGATGACTTTTAAGCTCCTTATAGGCCAGACTAGATCAAAATGACTTTAAAATACAATATTTGAAGGATCAATATTATGAAATTAGTTAGGTATAAAATTTTCATTGGCTTGTTCCTATCTTTTTCCAGTTTCCATTTTTCTATTGCTCCCAGTCAGCCACACTTCGAGAACACGGTAGAGCTGGCCCCAGAAGAGGGGCCAACATTCTGATGAGGTGTCATTACCTGGTTACATGGAACCAGGCCTCTGAAGAGACTAATTATTTAGAGAAGGCATGAACAGAGTTTACAAACTGTTTACCAAACTGTTTGATTCCCTCAGTAGAGGAGCTTTAATTTAAGGTGACTTTTTGAACTAGCCTTCTTTTGCAATCCTTTTAATTATCCAGCAGACAATTTGATCACAGGCTTAATAAGCCCACTCACACTGTTACTTCAGGGTTGGGATCAGCTTAATATGTTTACTTGAACAACATAAAAGGATAGTCTCTTAACTTAAACGTGAAACCATTTGGGTTGCTTTTCTATTTAAGATACTGTTGAAATCTATTTCCTCTAATATAAAATAGTAAGGAAAAAAGTTTAAACTAGAAACAAATAAGAAATTAAAAATGAGAATTTCATGGTTATTTTAGAAATGTCTTTAAGAAGCATTCTCTGTGGACTGACATGGGGGAATCTCAGTTATTAGTGAATCTGTGCAGTGTGGTCTCTTGGCATGAAGACAGAATTAGCAGTTTTGATTCCTGGTTTAAAAAACACAGATGTACACACACACGCGCGCGCGCGCGCGCGCGTGTGTGTATTAAATCAAGTTTGCCTAATTTTCTTCTAAACGTTCTAGGATATAGACACACAAGGACACTGTTTACTTTTATGACTAGCCCAGTATTAGCTAATCTCACTAAACTGTAGATTTACAAAATATGGCAAATCTCTATTTTTTCACCTCCTTAGCAAGAATAATTTTTAATTCAAACAACAAATAGTAGACTCTAGTAAAGGGATTTGTATATATTCATAGACTTAGCAAAACAGATATGAATAAGTATTAAGCCACTATGAAGCTGAATATGGAAAAATACAGCCTATGAAATTGGCCAATCATATATGAACGATGTGAAAGATTCAAAAGCAAAATTGTATTTTACAATACCTATTTTTGTGATAATGAGTATACAGCTTGATCCAGGAAAATCAAAAGACAGCTGTTCTATTTTAGAAATTAATAAACTACTGTACACATCCATATACCTGCAGCACAATGAAACCAGTGAACCTGATGTACGTATCTCACATATACCGCTATATTGTCACTTATCTGGATGATCAAGTAAGAGCCCACAGTGCTCATATGAAAAGAGCCATATCACCTTTGGTACAATTACTGTGGCTGCAATAAAACTACAACATACACACAACCCCATATAAATGTGTCTTAAATCAAGAAAAATAACAATTTATTTTAAAAAACCTCCAAAGATGACTTTTCTTGATGAAATCTGTAGCCACTTCATTTTTCCTGCCTCCTTAAAAGGTTCTCAATGTTCATCTGTGAGGCCTCTTCCATTGGTTATATTTACCCTGTCCCATGATGTTACACACTTATTAACTGCATGAACAGTTCAGCTCACATACACGGAACCCCCTCAAAAATAAAGAATCTATCAGAAGAGTGGCACGTTAAGGATTCTAAGGAAATCCACAAAAAAATGTCCTACTTAGGGCATATTGATTTTCTTCCTCCTAAAATAAGCATAATGAGGCAAAATGTCTGAGTGAAAACAAATAACACAGAAGCACAACTCTTGGAGGAAAAAATCTGATATTTACCAACAGTTTGGGGGAAGTGGGGTGTGAACACTTAAATGATGCAGTCCATAACATGGATCTGTAGCGTGTCTATGTCAGGCAGAACTTCTCCACATTTGGGGCACGAATGGATTGGAATATTCCGCTGTTGCTGCTGCCTCCAGTTGGTATCCTCATCTCCTGAGAACAAGCATTGAATGAAACGCTATTCCATTTCTTCCATGTTGCAAGTAGCTTTGTTTGTTTGATTTTAATAACAGACAATTCATTTTAACATCCATTAAACTTGGCAATTGGTACCCAATGGGGAGGGAATACAGGTTTTTTGGGGGGTCTTTAACTTAAGAAATCTACACACACACAGAAAATGTGCCCACATGGTACCTGCTATCCTACTGCTGTAGGTTTTGTGCTCTAGTCCAGGTTTTTAGTATGTGAAAATACGTGGTTTCAGTTCTAGGTACAGAACAAGACAAGTTCTAATACAAACAGGAATATTTGGGAGAAGAAACAAGATACATAAAGATATGAGCTCAAGGGGAGAGAAGGTGGAGAAAATAACGAGTGGCACACAGAGAGGTTTCCTAGAACAGTAGGAACCCTCTCAGAAGCAGAGATAATAACCATGTTCATTCCACCCATGCATCTGAGCACCTGGGAGGTGGAAGAGGGGTACAGAGACGAAGGGGACTTCAGGAGAGAAAAGCGACAGTGGGTGTGTGTGAGGGAAGGGCCACACTGTGCCACGTGAGGCAGGTTAGCGGGAGGATGGGAAAGGCACCAGGCTCAGACTGCTCTGTGCAGAAAGTCCGCCTCATGAGACCCACAGCATCCGGGAGGAGTTTTACGGATATGTAAGGGCTGCGAGTGGGCAAAGCGAGTGGGGAGAAAGAAGGGAAGTATGCGTTGTATCATTCTGTCCAATTTTAGAGCTGGCCCAAGGTTCAAGTCTAAATTAAAGAATGCTTGAAATAAGCCTTGACTCTAAGAAGGCCCCACGTGCAAACTAATCGATGTTGGAAATGACTTTTGGCTACCAGGGCATCTCCTTAATCTGACCTTTCTGGACCAGTGCAAACCATTTTGGTCTCAGAACTTGCAGTCAGCGCCCAGTGTTTGCTTTGGAGGCTGATCATGGAGGTAACCTTTAACCTTCAATTCAATTCAATTCAATTCAATTCAATTCAATTCAATTATTTGAATTGAATATGGAGACTATGGTAGACAGTCTGTGTTCAGTGAACTTCAGAAACACCATTGCACAGAAATACTGATCGCAAGCTGTGATTTCTAGAAGCATGGATCTTTCTAGTGATCTCACGGTCCTAGATCAGGAGTCAGTAAACTTTTTGTGTGGGCTGCAGTTTGCTAAACCCTGCTCTGGAGGGCAATAGGCCACTTATCGGGGACTGTTGATTCTTCATTTTAAACTTTATTTCATCCATCTTTGCCTTTCCTTTCGTCCTGGTCTAGGTTTCGAGACTCAGACTTGAGCTGTCGTATGAGGTGGTTAACGGGTTCCCTCTACCTTCCTGCTCTTTGCTATAAAATAAACTTGTTTTTCATTGTTAACCCATCACACTCCTTTGTCTTTGACCTTTTATTCTCATACCGTACTGACTGAAATCCTAGCTTTAAGGTCAAGCTTAAAGTCGGGCCTTTTCAAGACCTTTCTCAGCTGCCCTGGCCCTCAGGGATCATCCTTCCCTCTGACCTTAAGTAGCATTATCTCTATTACTTAAATCGTATCTTGTTTTATGAGTCCATCTTCTTATGCGCACATCCTGTCTCTCCAACCAGACCATCAGCTGCTTCAGACCTGACCATGCCTGTACCTATTTCTTCCCTCGTGCTCAGCTGAGTGTCCCAGACCAGGGCAGATGCTTTGCTGGCCACGGGTGACCACAATGATGAAAGAGAGTGAACAGGGGCTACTGTCTAAGGCAGCTTTGTTACGAAGCTAAAAAACTAAGATCAAAATCTGAAGACAGTCTGTGGAATATTACTTTGTGAAAGACAAGAAGCTTAGTAGGAAAATCATGAACAAACATGTACTTTGCGATGAGTTTTGGATTGTAAGTCAAAGAATGTCTGTTTTTGTTATTTTTTTTTAAACATAAACAGGCATTTGCCTTATTTAATTATGACCAAGGAAAATCTTCCTCTAAGAAATCCAGACGCAAGAGACTGTCCTTTTGGACCCAAGACAATGTCGCACTTTTGATATCAGAGGTAGATGGGTGTTCCTGGGATATTTAAATCAGGCTAGAGAAAATGTCTGGTGGTGCTCAAGTGTAGACGCAGGTTTGACAGAAGAACACAGCTTTACCCTACAACGCTCAACATGCCTGTGGCTAGTGTTCATGTCAGTCTATGTGCTACCTCTACGTATGCCCAATGAATGCGGTTGATTTTTAACCTGAGTTACTACCTCTAACATTACTTTAAAAAAATTTTTTTTAACATTTATTTATTATTGAGAGACAGAGAGAGACAGAGCATGAGCAGGGGAGGGGCCGAGAGACGGGGAGACATAGGATCCGAAGCAGGCTCCAGGCTGGGAGTTGTCAGCACAGAGCCCAACACAGGGCTCAAATTCACAAACCACGAGATCGTGACCTGAGCCGAAGTCGGAGGCTTAACCGACAGAGCCACCCAGGTGCCCCTAACATTACTTTAACTTATTTTTTTCCTATGAAAGAACTTTGGTGGGGGGACAGGGGAAGAAGGAAGGTGAAAGGGATACTCAGAGAAATTTCCCCAAGATTGAACAGGTGACGATACATCCTGCTTGCTTCCTTGCTGCTGCTGACACTGTGATGTTTCAGTAATCGGTTGGTATATGGAAGGGACTCAGACTGGTCCACCATTAAAAAAATGTTAAAAAGCCAGTTTTATGTGAAATTTGGGATGGCATCCTAAACCCAGATTCTTTTTAGTGGCAGCTCTGTCAGTCTTCAATCCTTTGAATTCTTTTTTTTTTCTTATCTAGACTCCAGGATACTACTTCCCTTTCAGTGATGTACTACAACACAGGGATTTATTATACATTACAAAACATTACTACAGTGTATTAAAACCAGGTAATAAACACAGCACTGTTAGTAAGTGTCAAGACTGATTTCACTCAGGCAACTAAAATCTGGATGTGGTACATAATTAGATGACAACTTATTACATGCGGTAGCGTGTAGTGGTTAAGAGTCAGATAATCTTGGGTTTTCTATGTCCAGTTCAGCTCCTAACTAACCTTGTGATCCTGGGTTGTTTAACCTTGTCTTCTGGAGAACTGTGAAAATATATAACTCATGAACTTTTGTGAGGATCACAAGAAATAACGTGTATGAAGTGATCAGGACAGTGTCTACGCACAGTAAACTCAGTAAATGCTAACATTATTATGTGCACAACACCAAGTAATGGGTGAAGATTCAAGTTCTGGGACAGCTTATTTAATACAACGCCTAGATGCATATTTAGAACACATCGATAATTATAACATAGCAGATGAGTCCTTTAAGAGGAACAGAGTACTTTGGAAATTCAGGAGGGAGAGGTTACATTCTGCTAGAATCACAGGGATAGTATTTGAAATGGGTTTTGCAGACGGGGTAGGGGTTCACTGGAAAGAGACAGGAGGGGGACAGGGACGTGTGTGAGGGAAGGATGCCACGTAGGGAAGTATATGCGGGTATGCAAGCCTATGACGAGTTCAAGGAACAGGGAGCGATTCTGTTGGCTAACAGCTGTAGGGAATTCGAGGAGGAGAAGGTTAAAAGTTAGGCTATGCCAGGCCTTAACTGCCAGCACGAAGAGAGTCTGGTGTCTGGAGTCAGTCTGTAATGGATGGAGAATTAGGGTACTGTGAAAATAAGACTGCGGGGTGCTACATTTTTCACAGTCTGATCTGAAATTCATTTTGTAGAATGTAGTGAAATTGTCTTCAAGCGTTCTCTTCATAGAATAGTTATCCCCTGGAGCCCTGAAAACCAACAATCACACGGGACTCACCTCTCTGAGCGAGGTAGGCCTGCTGGTCAGGGTCACTTGTTCTTGCCCCATGACGGCTCTGCATCTCCATCAAGGACTGCCTACTGGGATGAAAAGTGACACTATAGTGATGTTTTAAAGCCCTGAAATATGACAACATTAAGCAGACATTCAAGAGCAATATGGGGGGGAGAGAGCTAAAAAAAATGCAAGTTTCATAAAAACCAGAACTTAAGGGTTAACTTGAGTTTGAAATATTATTGGTAGTAGCACAGTGTAGTAAAAGAAAATAACAATTAAGATTAAAAAATCAGTAAATAACCAAACTGTCTCTGGATAAGGAAATGGATTAGAAAAAAGGGGCGTATTTCTAAAAGAAGACACTATAGGGCAATTCAAGAGAATGAAATAAATCTGCACACACACACACACACACACACACCCAGAGTCCAAAATCACAGTGTTCCATAAAACAAGCTGCAGAATGAGACCTAGTGATTTTTTTTTCTTTTTAGAGAGAAAGAGAGAGAGAGAGAGCACGAGTGAGCACAATAGGGCAGGGTAGAGGCAGAGAGAGAATCCCGGGTAGGCTCCATGCCCAGTGTGAGCCCAACATGGGGCTCGATCTCACAACTGTGAGATCATGACCTGAGCAGAAATCAAGAGCTGGACGCTTACCGGACTGGCCACCCAGGCGCCCTGCAAACATATTACAGAATTGTTTAAAGTGTTAAGAATATTGACCCCCGACAGCGGCAGGCTAGAACCTGGGAACACACAAGGCCTGAAAGCAAAGAACACCTCAGGTTCCCGCGAGACGCCACCAGGCCTTGTTGTAAGTCAGGCTGAGTGTCTGAGTGTCGGGGACGCAACCAAGTGAAGTGAGCCCAGAGTACTTCCTGCAGCTCGACTGGAGAAGCACCTCTGACCACCGCCTGCCCTCCACCCGCGCCCCGGGCTCCGGGTGTGTGGCCTGAGCCCTCCCTCCCCTCACCTGCCTCCATCTTCAAAATCGTTATTCTCTTTCAGCAGAATTGCCAGCTGCAAAGCCAGCTGCTCCTTTTCTTCGTGTATTTTCTCTCTTGCCGCTCTTTCAGCATGAAAGTCAGAACAGTAAACTTCCATCTGGAAGAAGGTAAAAGACACAGAAGTTACTGCCTGGATAGATTTGGATGCTCCACAGTCACCTGGGGACAGGGCGCGGAATGGGTGCTGCCTCCTGGGATGCACCTTGTAAGTCACAGGTGCATCTTCCTGCTAGAAACCAGGGTGGTGACCGTGACCTTCCAACCACCTTCTGACAGAAGACAAGCTGTGTGTGTGTGCACTTTAGACAATTAGAACTCGGCAATGACACCAAGGTAGGTGGTTTAAACACCGCACGTACTCGGGGCGCCTGGGTGGCGCAGTCGGTTAAGCATCCGACTTCAGCCAGGTCACGATCTCGCGGTCCGTGAGTTCGAGCCCCGCGTCAGGCTCTGGGCTGATGGCTCAGAGCCTGGAGCCTGTTTCTGATTCTGTGTCTCCCTCTCTCTCTGCCCCTCCCCCGTTCATGCTCTGTCTCTCTCTGTCCCAAAAATAAATAAATGTTGAAAAAAAAAATTAAAAAAAAAAAAAACACCGCATGTACCATTCATTCAGTAAAATTCTCTGATTTTTTTTTTAAATTTTTTAAATGTTTACTTTTGAGAGAGAGAGAGAGAGAGAGAGAGAGAGAGTGAGCGGGGGAGGAGCAGAGACAGAGAGGGAGACACAGAATCCGAAGCAGGCTTTTAGGCTCTGAGCTGTCAGCCCACAGCCTGTACGGGGCTCGAACCCATGAACCACGAGATCTTGACCTGAGCTGAAGTCAGATGCTTAACCGACTGAGCCACCCAGTCGCCCCAAAATTCTCTGATCTTTTGAAAAAAATAATATTCAGGGTTAGCTTAATACAGCACATGGTTTATTTACTCTGTCAGGTATGTTTATGAAGGCTTTCCTTAAGTTAAATTTTAAATAGTAATAGTAAATAGATGGTATTTATTGAGGCCAAACATGCACAAAGTCCTCTGTTGGGTGCCTACATTCCTATCTTATTGCACCTTATCAAAAATCCTGGGAATGTAGCCTTGCTATGCTCATTTTACAAGTTTAATAGCTCTTAATCTTGGTAAGTGTCATACCAGCACTTGAACCGAGACTGAAGCCCCAACGCCGCTTCCCACAGTAGTAGCCAGCCTCCACCATGGCTCCAGGGACCCTCAACTGTTGGTATTCACACCCTTACGTGGTGCCCTCCCACAATGAACAGGGCCAACCCACGTAAGCACTAGGGTAGCGCAGGAAGGACTGTGCGTGGCCTCTGAGCCTAGGTCACGAAAGACACTGTGGCTTCCACCTCATTCTCTCCGGGGTGACCTGCAGTGGGGGAAGCCAGCTCCCATGTCACGGGGGGTGCGCAAGCCAGCCCGGGGAGAGGCCCGGGGGGTGAGGCACTGAGGCCTCTCGCCCGCAGCCATGGGAGCGAGCCGGCTTGGAAATGGGTCTTCTAGTCTATCCTGAGCGCAGCCTCATGAGGGGCCCTGAGCCGGAATCACCCTGCTAACCTGTTCCTGGAGGCCCGACCCACAGAAATGCTGCGAGGTAACGAATACCTGTCATTGTTTTAGCCGCTAACTTGGAGGGTAATTTCTTACCTAGAAACGTAAACATTCTGCCACGATAGCAATCTCTTCACGGTCACAAAGTTACAAAGTAAAAATGGGCTACTTAATAGAGAAATGCCCATTACTCTAATAAAAGCAGGTTTTTCCCCCCTCACATTTTATGGTTTCACTGGACGGTCTGGTGCACTTTCCACACGTGATGTGCTTCAATAAAATTTAAACAAAATATGTCGGTGGAAGGAATATAAAATCCAAAAATATATCCGAAACACCATCGCCTTCCCATTTGAGACCACAGCCGGGGTTGGCGCCACTGAGCTCCATCGCGACGCGGCTCACCTGAGCCCTCAGGACGGTCATGGTCTCCAGGTCCTCCTCCTGCTTGGCGATGGTCTGCTTCATCTCGTCCATCTGAAGCTGCTTGGAAGCCAGCGCCTTCTCTGCCAGCGCCAGTTTCTCGCTTAGTTCTTGTAGTACCACCTTATCCACTTTTTCTGACTGCAAGAGACAAGTGTATTCTAGAATGGTTGTGACATAATCCAACCTGCTGTAGTAAAATATTAAAGGAAGTTTTGTCTGTTTTTAAATGACAGGCTCTGAACTGTTCTGTTCATTGGCAACGGTAACGTGCTCAGAAAGTTGTATTCATTTAACTCACAGCTTGCAAATGATAATTTTTTTTTTTTTTGAGACACACACACACACACACACACACACACACACACACACACACATACACACAGCGTGAGCAGGGGAGGGGCAGAGAGAGAGAGACAGAATCCCAAGCACGGTCCACACTGTCAGCACAGAACTTGATGTGGAGCTTGAACTCATGAACCGTGAGATCATGACCTGAGCCGAAAGCAAGAGTCAGATGCTTAACCAGCTGAGCCACCGAGGCACCCCACAAATTATAATTTCGTAATTTAAAACAATGAAAAAACCCCCACTAAAATAAGGGAAATAATAACAAACCTTGATCTCAGTGACGCTGTAACTCACTGCTACTGTTATTTTTCCCACTAATGTTACTCTTACTTGGTGAAGTCAGTGGAAAAGAAACTTGTTTAAGTTAAAAATTTATCCCATCACACCTGTCAGAATGGCCAGTATCAAAAAAGACAAGAAAGAACAAATGTTGGTGAGGATGTGGAGAAAGGGGAACCCTTGTGCGCTGTTGGTGGAAACGTAAACTGGTGCAGCCACTTTGGAAAAGTCGGGAGTTTCCTCAAAAAATTAAAAATAGAACTACTGTATGATTCAGCAATTCCAACTCTGTGTATATATCCAAAGAAAATGAAAATACTAATTCAAAAAGATATATCCACTCCTATGTTTACTACAGCATTATTTACAGTAGCCAAGATATGGAAGCAACCCAAGGGTCCATCATAGAAGTGATGTGTATATATGTATATACACAATGGAGTATTAGTCAGCCATAAAAAGACTGAAATGTTGCCATTTGTGACAATATGGATGGACCAAGAGGGTATTCCGCTAAGTGAAGTAAGTCAGAGAAACAAATACCATATGATTTCACTTACATGTGGCATCTAAAAAGCAAAACAAATGCACAAACAAAACAGAAACAAACTCATAAATACAGAGAACAAACTGGTGGTTGCCAGAGGAGAGGGAGATGGGGGATGGGCGAGATAGGTGAAGGGGGTCAAGAGGTACAAACTTCTAGTTATAAAATATAAGCCAAGGGAAAGCACAGTACAGTGTAGGGGATACAGTTGGGGTTAGAACAACATGGGGGTTAGAGGTACTTACTCCTGCATAGTCACAAATTTACACATAACTTTTGACTCCCCAGAAATTTAACTAGTAATAGTCTATGGTTGACTGGAAGCCTTACTGATAATTTAGTTGGTTAACACATACTTTGTGTGTTATATGAGTTATATGCTATATTCTGACAATAAAGTGAGCTAGAGAAAAGAAAATGTTATTAGGAAAGTCATAAAGAAAAAAATACATTTATAGTACTATACTTCAAAAAATCTGCATATTAGGGGGCACCTGGGTGGCTCAGTTGGTTGAGTGTCCAACTTCAGCTCAGGTCATGATCTCGTGGTTTGTGAGTCTGGGCCCCACATCGGGCTTGGTGCTGTCAGCACAGAGCCCGCTTCAGATCCTCTGTCCCTCTTTCTTTGTCCCTCCCCTGCTTGCGCTCTCTCAAAAATAAACATTTTTAAAAAAATTTTAAAAAGAAATAAAAAAGCTGCACATTAAGTGGACCCGTGCAAACCCCTTTTGTTCAAGGGTCAACTGTACGGTCAATACTATCTTGATAACTTTGTATGGTGACAGATGGTAACTACAATTATGAGCATTTCAAAATGTGTGTAAATATCAAATCACTATGAAAACTGATCTGACATAATATCGCAACTATACTTTAATTAAAAATAAATACATAGGGGCACCTGGGTGGCTCAGTCAGCTAAGTGTTCGCTCTCGATTTCGGCTCAGGTCATGATCTCACGGTTCGTGAGTTTGAGGCCTACGCTGGGCTCTGCACTGACAGCATGAAGCCTGCTTGGGATTCTGTCTCCTTCTTTCTCTGGCCCCCCACTGCTCACTATCTCTCTCTCAAAAAATAAATTAACAAACATTAAAAAATAAATAATCAAAAAAAATTTACTAAGTCTTAGGAACAATATTCTCTTAAGAAAAATGAAAAACAGGGGCGCCTGGGTGGCGCAGTCGGTTAAGCGTCCGACTTCAGCCAGGTCACGATCTCGCGGTCTGGGAGTTCGAGCCCCGCGTCGGGCTCTGGGCTGATGGCTCAGAGCCTGGAGCCTGTTTCCGATTCTGTGTCTCCCTCTCTCTCTGCCCCTCCCCCGTTCATGCTCTGTCTCTCTCTGTCCCAAAAATAAATAAACGTTGAAAAAAAAATTAAAAAAAAAAAAAAAGAAAAATGAAAAACAAAGAGTACATTTATAAGCATATAAACTCAAATTCAGAGCTTCCATGATCTTTACTTATTTATCCCAGCTTTCTTCAAGTAAAACTGACAAGTAAAACTATAAGATATTTAAAGTGAAGAATGTGGCAATTTGACAGATGTATACAGCATGACAGGGTTCCCCCAACCAGGTTAATTAACATCCATCACCTCACATATCTACCCATGTTTAAACTGCCATATCATGGTGGCATTATACTAATGGAAGTTGCAGTCCGGTGAGTCCAGGGTCTCAAGGTCACTGACAGTAGCAAGCTAGCCCCATGACAGCTCAACGGACACGACCCCTCCAGGGGCAGCCAGTGGTCTCACCGCGCCCTGCTCACGTGGGAGCCCATGCTGGTAGCTGTCCTACAGACCCACCCGCTGATAGAAATCCTAAAAGCTTACTCCCCGACTGTAGGAATCAGCACCATCCCTGCACGCGAAGCACGTTACACATAGGTAGAACACCGGAACTCACATGCACTCGGACACGAGAAATCAATGATAAAATGAAGGGCACCCTTTGAAACCAGACTTAGTTAAGCATTGACAACTACTTTACATATAAAAATGTTTAACAGTTTCTTTTTATTATGAGGCTACGGAAGTAATTTTCTTCTATGAGTACCTCTTTCCTTTTCAGTTCCTCGATCATTTTCAACGAATTATTGTATTCTTGAAGAAGCTTGTTATGTGTCACCTGGAGAGTGGCTACCTTGGACCTATTGAAAAAGACAGTAAGAAATGGTATCTTGGGGGAGCTATCAGAAAAACTTAGTCTTGCTTTCCAACCCCCTTCTGAACACTCAACTAGCAAATTCTTCTCTCCTACCTTTGCCACCCCACCACCTGCTAGCATTTTCTTACTCTCAAAGAAAACAATCTTTACAAAAAAAAAAAAAATCAAGATTGGTTACAAGTCACGTTAATAATTCTGTTCTAATAAAACAAATGTTATCTCCTCAGAAAAATCTCCTGTGCTCCTTCAGATACATAAAAGAGAAAATCTTTTAATGTATTCTCAAATCCTATTTCCAACCTGATAAAAGTGCTCTCCTATTTTCTTCCAGCAAGTAGTCATTTGCTCGTGGCTACTCACTTTTCATCTTCAGTTTTAGCTTGCTCCATTTTGATTTCTGATCGCATGCTTTCCACTTGTAGTTCCAACTTTTTGTTGTTATAAACAAGCTCCTGCTTTTCATTCAGCTCTGATGGGGTTGCAGAATTCTTCCTTTCAAGGGCCTGACATCTAAGAAAGATCGATATTTCATGAGGATGAATGATGCTCCTTCATTTCTCAGTGGCTCTCAAATCCCAAGACTATGTAGCAAATACAAAGAAATTTAGGATTGCATTTTTCAAGGAGTATTTAGCAAGCAAACTAAAATATTTTATCCTCCTTGCTTCTTTACTGGAAACAGGCAGTATTTCTAAACCCTCATGACTAAACATTAAAAAAAAATGCAGATCTTTTCTTGGAAAATAAATTTACGTATTTCAGAATCCGTATGCCTAATGTAAAAAAGTACAGATCTAAGACCACACAAGCCTTATGCAGTCATGTAAAAACTGCCTTATGTAGTCATGTAAAAACATATTTTTGTTCTTCAGACACAGACCAAAATAGTAATTGGCTAAAGGTACTTTTCGCATACTGATCCATGGATATTGTCAATATTTTAAAAAGTTATGGGTTTTGTTAAGCACAAAGACTATGACTTCTGACAAGGTTTTTTTTTTTTTTAGTGTTTATTTTTGAGACAGAGAGAGACAGAGCATGAGTGGGGGAGGGGCAGAGAGAGGGGGAGACACAGAATCAGAAGCAGACTCCAGGCTCTGAGCTGTCAGCACAGAGCCTGACATGGGGCTTGAACTCACGAACCGTGAGGTCATGACCTGAGCTGAATTTCGATGCTTAATTGACTGAGCCACCCAGGGGCCCCATGACAAAGATTTAATAAGGGAAGAGAAAATGTCCTAAGCCCTCTTAAAGATCAGAAAGAGAATTTCAGTATAATAATAGTAAATATGAAACTACAGTGGCCATATGCAAGGCATTAACGCCAAGTGTGTCAAACATCTCAACACGTTAAGAAGTAGGGATAATGACACACATTTTACAAATGATAAAACTAGAGCTCAGAGAGGTTAAATAACCAACTTGCCCAAGCTAATACCACAAATGAATTGTAGATCCACATTTCAACGAGGTCAGTTTGTCCAAAGTCCCTAGCTTTCGCTACCATGCTGTGCCAGATTACCAGAATACTGTTTAGCCTTGGTAAATTTAACTCCAAGGCAACATACGCTCCTACACTGTGCCGGGAATATGCTTGCCAGCCAATCCCAAAGAACCACATAAACTTCGCTCTTCTAAATTCTGGGTAACTCGTTACATCAAGAAAAACAAGCACATGCAAAGTTCTCAGTGTAAATAGTAGCCTTCATAACTGATTGAAAATGATTTTCTTTTCCTCAATAAATCTCATTCCAGTTCTTTTTGCTCTTTGCAGCTTTCGTTTATGTGTCCTTGTATCAACGCTGTTGACTCAGGAAGGTCACGGGACATCTGGCTTACTGCTTTTTTACAGGTCCTCACAGAGGCTAGTGCATTTCACTGACACCCGCAAACAACTGCATCAGATTTCCCTGGCCCCCCGCCCCCCGCATTTTAGTACAAGTATTTCACGTGAACCTGTGCATTCACCTCAACATTCGTGTTTTCCAAATTCAGATTTTAATTAGGTTTCTATTTTTCTTTCAGTAACACAGTAGCAAAACCATGTTTTTACATGGTATTTTGTAAAAATGTACACTTTCCAAAGAAGAAGAAAAAATTCATCCCTCGCTCTTACTTCTCTTGAAGTCTCTTCTTCATTAGCTCAGCTTCGCTGAGTTTTGTATGAGCCTCTTGAAGCTCCTTAAATAGGGTGGTCACCTGAAGGTTCAACGTCTCCACTTCGCTTCCAACCTGTCACACAGAAAATCCCAAGCACGCACATGCAATTCACATCAGAGATCAAATGAACCTCTTTGTGAGAAAACAGTGTGAACCATTAGTGTCCACCTAAGACTGATGGGTGAATTGATTACACTTTGGACAATGAACACCCCAAATATTGTACATGAAAAGAAACGTTTTAGATACAACTCTGTCACCTGATATGTCTGTATTTACTAGTTATATATAACAGTTTATATTTCACAATGTGTAATTTATATGTATAATCACTAATAAATATAAATAGATAAATATAAATAAATAAAACATATATATGTGTACACAAAATGCTGTTTTTCTTAAATGATCGATTCGGATGCACTTGTGATAATGACTTTATCATAATTAATTTTTTTTCTTATACAAATCGGTGGAGGTTATTTAAATGGAAGAAAAACGTCTCCTCTTTGATACTTGGCAACCCAAGAACCTCCCTTCTTAAGACCTGTCGGAGCCAAAATTCACACAAACGTTCCCAGATGTTGAGGTTTTGACTTTTACGTAGAGAGAGGCCGCAGGCATTTTAGATTTTGCTAATTTCTGCTCGTCCTTTATCATAACTAAGTTAACACTGATCACAGTCCAGGGGATCACAGAACATGGTGGTGTCAGAGCACAATCTAATTTGTCCAGACAGCAACCCATGCCCATCCATATTCCCTGGCTGATTTATGCCTCCAGTTTACTCCACTTTTCTCACCGAACCGCCTTTTTCCCGGCAGTTCTGGCAGAATTGCTGGCAATGAGTTTTACGTTGCCTTGGAAATCTCCATACTTCTCCATTACTGACAAATGGTTTTGGTCAACCAAGTACGATTACGCCCAGGCTGCCTCTTCATCTCTGTGTTTTAAGCGGTCGTCAGTCTCTTGAAGTAGGAGACTCAGCCCCGGCCATGGCATATGGTAGGCACTCTGCATACATTTGCTGAATAAATGAATCCGCTGAGGTGAGCATCTTACGTACGTCCACGCTTGTCACGTGGGCAACTGCAGCCCTCACAACTTCCTGGCTTCGCCAGCCTTCCCTAAGCTGAAGACCATGTGGCAGGCTCCAAGGGCACATCTCTGAGCTGCCACGGAACACTGGCAGTACAAGCTTTTCATTCAAACTATGTCATTCAAACCAGTAGGAGGGTAGAACCAAAAGCTTTTAATTTGATCTCGAGTTCTGGGTCATATTCTCAAATGATCTTATTACAAAGTGGACAACATTCCTTTCTCCATTAGCAGGCCTGTCCACTCAGTAAGTTAGGAGAGAAATCAGCCAAGAAGAGACAGAGGCGTGATTCCCTAGAATCACTGGGATGGGAACACATCTCCCTACAATTTACTATGGATGAATTTCAAATCGGGACATGGAACAGGAGAGAAATAGAACATATCCAACATTAAAATTATTTCTATTTCTAACGCGAAGAACCCGACACAAGACTCGACTTCAGATACCACACTTTGGGCCCTCGGTGGGGGGTGACAGAGTCTGAGAACCTGAGTACCCACGGTTTCTGGGCCTTTCCCCTCTTCTTTCTCTTTTTCTTTGCTCGTCTCTGTCTGGGTCTCGACTTCCGCATGATCACTGGCTTTCTTTTCAAAATATGAAACTCTGAAAAAGTGCAGAATATGGAAAAGTTACTTTCTCTGTGGCTTCAAGAAGAGAAACAGTTGTGGAAGCACTAAAAGAACACCGTTTGAAATCCATAAAAGATATGGGGCTTCAAAATCTCTCTGCACTTGCTATGTTAACTTTTTTGGGTTTTGCTCTCATCCTAAAATTGGCTAGAATTGATTGAAGGGATGGGTTTAGGCAGGGTCAAAGGCATAAATCATCCCAAACACTGAAAAACACTGCCACTTTTCACGTAACAGTAATATGCAGAAATATTTTTAAAATCTGTGTTTTTGTGTGCACGTAGGTCATGCATGTGTGTTACAAGAGTGTGTGTCCCTTTATAAGGATTCAGCAGAGAGAGGATGCCTTTTTAGGACCCATCAAAGGTCGCAAGTCCCTAAAAACACACAAATGGACAAACCTTCCTCCAGTGAATCATAACCACATGAAAGCCAGCCCAGCGCAAATAAAACAAGAAGAGATTTCTGATTAAAGATGGTATACTGAATACATGCATGTAATTCTTGTCCCACCCTGAACCCCACCAAAATGACTTTTAAAAAGCCACGTATTCACGATCTCACAGTCCGTGAGTTCGAGCCCCGCATCAGGTTCTGGGCTGATGGCTCGGAGCCTGGAGCCTGTTTCCGATTCTGTGTCTCCCTCTCTCTCTGCCCCTCCCCCGTTCATGCTCTGTCTCTCTCTGTCCCAAAAATAAATAAATGTTGAAAAAAAAAATTTTAATAAAAAAAATTAAAAAAAATAAAAAGCCACGTATGAGAGAAAGGGAAAGGAAATAACAGCAAGAAGATTTGGGGGGCATGGCTACGAGTGGGAACTGAGCCAATAGAGCTGGCTCTGAAGCCAACAGTAGGGAGAGCCAGTGTGAGGTCATCGACACTGTGGGAACCAAAAGGCTCAGGAGTCATCGAAACCAGGTATCTCGGGATCTGGGGACAAAGATGAGGCCTGTTTAAGAGGGACTACAAGATCACAAAATAAAGGGTTTCTGGAGTCAGACACTAGTAAGAGATGAGAAGTGGGTTTTTCTGTAAGGGGAACTTACACACAGAACACTAAGACCCTCAGCCACCTATTCCTACTCAAGGACTTTGACATCTAGAAAAGTACCTTCCAGGCAGGATGCTGGAAGAGTCCTCGTTGGAGTACATAAGGATACTCCAGCATAAGGGAAAAGATTTAAAGTTTCTGACACAGGGCTTCCCCGAGAAAACCTCCCAGCCAGATCTCCTGAGATGTGGACCCAGAGTTGCAATCAGCTTCTAATACCCTATTATCCTGCTGAATCTGAGCAAACAGGCAAGACTGCTGGACATTTAAGGGAAATCTTAATATGAAACTGAAAAGAGTAATTTACTGAAAACAGAATATGCCAGTGGGGAAAAAAAAAGTAAAAAAACAGCACCGATGAAGGATCCTTAGACACATAAACACTACAACCACCAAAAACATGGAACACAATAAAAAAGATTCTCTCCTGCAAAAAAGGAAGATGAAAGTTGATCAAATCTATCAGAAAGGAGAAAGAAGAAAAAAGGAGAGCTAGAAAAAGGGAACAAGGAGTTAAACCACAGGAGATCCAATTCAAAAAGAACAGTGATGCTAGAAAGAGAGAACAAAGAAAACTGAGGGTTAGAGATAATTACTAAATGAATTCAAGATCATTTTTAAAGAACTGAAGGACATGAGTCTGCAGAATGAAAGAGCCCAAGAGTGTCCAGAATAGACAGGTGAAAAACAGGTTTACCACCAAAGCATGTGAGAAGTCTCATCACCACAAACATGAAGAATCACAATGGCACTGGGTTTCTCAGCAGTAACACCAAAACCGAGGGCACAAGGAAGCCACGTTTTCGAAAAGTGGAGGGAAAATTATATCCAGTTACAGAATTCTATACCTAGCCAAACTATCCATGAAGTATAAAGGCAGGAGGAGAGATTTTCAGATATGAAGGTGTCAGAAAATATACTGCCCATAAATTCTTTTTTCAGTAAGTCAGTGGAGATATGGTGGGCTTTATTTGAAAAGAAATTAAAAAAAAAAAAGCGTAGGAAAGGCATTAGATTCAGGAAACAGGTGATGGAACACAGGAGAGATGAAGGAGTTCCCAGGGCAAAAGTAAAGGGAGGTGCCAAGATGAGTTCAATGTAGCAGGACCTGGGAAGCAAGCAGGCCAGATTGCAGCAAGAATACTCTTAGACTACTAACACATCTGAGAGGTTTCCTTGTTGGGGAAGAGCATGAGGAAACTAAGCAAGTTTTAAAAATGTAATTATGCATAGAGGCAAAAAAAAAAAAATAAGTTGTACAAAAAAAGGAAGAATGTTCAAGGCACAGAGCAGAGCTCAACTCAGAGCTCCATGTGCATGTCTAATAACATCAACACTGAGTACTTATCTCACTACATTTCAACATAGCCGATTTTGGAGGTGGAGTGGGCCAGCCAGGTCCGGAAGCATCTGTGTGCGATGACAACGAGGGGGGTGAAAGACAGTTAAATCTCCATCCTTCAGAGTTGGAGGTCAATAGATTGTGTTCACAACAGGGGGAAAATTCAGCAGCAATTTGAGCCCGGTACATGGAGGGAAACATCAAAATGGTTGGAACCCATGCAAATTGCCAAACCTAAGGGGCTGCACGGGCACTCTTTCAGGCCAAGCCAAATAAATGGGTTAAGGGCCAGCTGATGCAGGGTTGATGGATGAGCCTTCATTACACTATTCACATCCGACACAGGGCTCCATGGGAAAATTCTTCTCCCAGGAAAATTTTCATCTTGGACTGAATTTCTGTGCTACCTCTCGATTCTCTTGGGCTACACTTTCTACACACTTCCCCCACTTACTTGCTGTCAGTTTAAGTTTGTTTAGAAAACAAAAATTGCATGAAATACTAATCCTGGAAAACAATGGGGAAAAAAAAGACAAACCTATTGGCTTCTCTCCCCACAAATCTAAAAATTTTCAGAATAAATTTTAGACTGTTTATACTCTTATTTCTCATGATTAATGAAGAGAGTTGAAGACTCACTTGTTTGAGAAAAACACATGTTAGGTCTTGGAATGTGTTTTCATCATTTCCTATAGAGCATGAAACCAAAGCAGGCTAACCAGGTTTCTCAGTTTCAGTCCTGCCTTAGCTAGGAGAAAATCATCATCCTGACACTCACCTAGAGAACATTAGTCTTGGTAACTATCACTGACTTCCCAGTTGTTATATACAGAAAGAAGGCTGGCGCACAAAGTAGAAATTCAATGCGACTGGGAATGGGACCCTTCACAGGTGTTCAAGGGGAGAGACTAAAAACAGCCATCTCAAAGGCAGGCCGGACTTCCTAGGGCAGGCTGAAGGGCTGTGGCTGCAGACAGAGGGCTGTAATTATTTTGGAAGCAGGAATTATATATATCTCATATGAACGATCAGGATGTATAATTAGCAAATTCCTAAGTTTCCACTTCCACCATGAAAGCTGATCATGCTAAGTAAGGATGAATTACTGGCTACACCTGACTTCTGAGAATGATGTATGGAACATGGGAAGGGTAAACATGACTATAAAATACAAACACACGGATTACTCAGGCTACTGAGGGCCTTCCTCAACACGTAACTCCTTCCCTTCAAAAACCAGCTGTGATAACTAAGGTGTAAAAGGAGGGCATTCATCCATCCATTCCTTTGCTCATTTATTTGTGCACTGTTAACTATGCTTTTGGGATTTGTCTAAAAGATAGGACAAATATTTTGCTCCATGACAATACATGGTGCTAGTCTCCTAGAAGTCAACCTTTGAAATTTTCTAAGGGACAGCAGTAGCATATGGTGTAAAATCCTAGGATTTAGAGCCAGCATGCCCTTAGCACCTTTGAAAAGCTATCAGATAAGTCACCGGACAAAGGCCAATGTGTTTTCCAGATTAACCTCATCTGAATAAATAACATAGGTTTCACATTTTAAGATCTTTCTATAGTTAAAAATTTTAACTGCTTCAGTTAGAAAGTGCTTTTTTTTTTTTTTTTAAGTTTATTTTGAGAGAGAGAGATAGAGTGAGCAGGGGAGTGAGCTGTTAGCAGTGCCTGTGGTGGGCTTGAACTCATAAACCGTGAGATCATGACCTGAGCTGAGATCAACAGTCGAATGCTGAACTGACTGAGCCACCCAGGGACCCCAGGAAGTGCTTCTTATAGTGCTAGAATTTTAAGAGCAATAAGGCATCTATAACTTCTGAGAGAATTAATTATATTGTAGTATATTTATGATTAAATGTTGCAATCACTGGAGTCCTAAAACTACTGTGTAACCTCTTCCATGTCTTACCTGGTTTAGCATTTTGTACTTCTAAAAAGTACATTTGCACATAGAAATTTATTGACTTCACAACTCTATACCATAGATGAATTTTACCCCAAAGTATTTGTGTGTGTTTACACGTCTACCACATTCTATGAGGCTGGTATCTCCCTTATACCAAAAACAGACACAGGCATCACAAGAAAAGAAAATTACAGACTAATACCCCTTATGAATAAAGATGCAAAAATCCTGAATAAAATTTGAGCAATCCAAACTAGCAACATATAGAAAGGATTATACATCATGACCAATGGGATTTACCCAGGAATGAAAGGTTTAACATGTGAAAATCAATCAGTATAATACATCATATTAACAGAAGCTTTAAAAACCCATGTAATCATCCCCATAGACATGGAAAGCATTTCACAAAATCCAAAACCCTTCATGATAAAAATTGTAACAATCTATAACTAGAATGGAGTTTCTCAACTTGACACAGCATCTGTGAAACCTTACAGCTAACATTGTACTTGATGGTAAAAGGCTGAAGGCCTTCCCTCTAAGGTTAGGAACAGATAAGCATGTCTGCTTTTTCAACTTATATTTCACATTGTGCTAGAGATTCTAGCCAGTGGAATAATGGAAGAAAAAGAAATACAAAGTATTTCTTGTTGGTAAGGAAGAAGTAACACTATCTCTTTGCAGATGATGTGATCTTGTATAAAGAAAATCCTAAGGAATCCACTAAAAAACTAATAGTGCGAATACGTGAGTTCTAACAAGGTTGTAAGCTACGAGATCAATATATAATATACAAAAAAAAAAAAGCCAGTGATATTTCTGCATACTACCAAAGAATACTCCGAAAATTAAATTAAGAAAACAATTTCATGTATACAGTTCTAAAAAGACCAGAATACATAGGAACAAATTTTGAAAAGCAGTGTATGACCTATATGTTGAAAACAACAAAACATCACTGAAATACATCACAGCTGACCTAAATAAATCCATGGATTATCTTTCATGGATCAGAACATTTAACAATGTTAAGAGGGCATAACTCTCCAAACTGAACTCCAGGGTCAATGCAATCCTTAACAAAATCCCAGCTGGCTTTCCACACCACCGCCCCCCACCCCACCCCTGACAGAAACTGAAAAACTTATCCTAAGATTTATACAGAAAAACATGTAATCCGCAGTAGCCAAAATAATCGTCCTGATTATTCCTGATTCCAAAATTTACTACAAAACTATAGTAATCAAGACAGTGTAGTATTAGCAAAGAATATAAATCAAAGGCATATAAATCAAAGGAATGAAATTGAGGGTCCAGAAATTAATCTTTACAGGTATGGCCAACTGATTTATTCCAAGGGGGGCAAGACAGTTCAGTGAGGGAAAGAATGGTCAACAAATGGTGTTAGGATGAATGGAAATCTACACACGAAAGAATGAAGTTGGTCCCCTACCTCACACCATATACACAAATGAACTGAAAATGGATCAGAGACCTAAATGTAGGAGCTAAAACTATAAACCTTTTAGGAGAAAACATAGGAGTGAATCCTCATGACCCTGGATTAGTCAATGGCTCCTTAGATACAACACCAAAAGCATAAATGACATAAGAAACATAGATAAACTGGACTACATAAAAATAAAAAAAAAAATTTCTGCTGCCAATGGTAGCACCCAGGAACTGAAGAGATAATCTACAGAATGGGAGAATATATTGCAAGTCATATACCTCATAAGGGATTTGCATCTTGAATATATAATGAACTCTTATAACTCAGTAATAAAAAGGCAATCCAATTTTTTTAAATGGGCAAAGGATTTCAAGAAATGTTTCTTCAAGGAAGGTATACAAATGAGCAACATGAAAAGATATTAGTTGTTAAGAAAATGAAATCAAAATCACAGTGAGGATGTGGGAGAAAGTCGAACCCTCATATATTGCTGGTGGAAACATAAAATGGAGCAGCCAATGTGGATAACAGTTTGGTATTTCCTCAAACTATTAACCACAGAGTTACCAATGACCCAGCAATCCCACTCCTGGGTATATAACCCTAGAGAATTAAAAAAATATATGTATATATACCTCCACACAAAAAATTGTGCATGAATGTTTAAAGCAAGTATTATTCACAATAGGCATAAACTGGGAAGCAAAACGTTCACCAGCTGATAAATAAAATGTTGTCCAGCCCCATGGTGGACTGACTCTTTCTTGGCAACAAAAAGGAAGTGAGGAACTGACACACACCACAACATGGATGAACCTGGAAAACATGCTACATAAAATAAGTCAATCACTAAGGTGCACAAGTTACATGATTCCATTTATACGAAATGTCCAGAAAAAGCGAATCTGTGGAGACAGAAAACCGATTACCGGGGGTGGGGAATGAGGAATCCGTGTCAGTGGGAAGTGGTTTCCTATTTGGTGGAAAAAAATGTTCTAAAATTATAATGTGGAAATGGTTCCATAACTGAATATTCTAGACGACACTGAAATGTATTCCTTACGTGGATGGATTATCTGGTATCTTAATCACATCTCTCTAAAGCTGTGCCAGGGCATGAATATTTCAAATTACCTATTTCATACCTTTCTTTGGCTTCCTTGAGGGCAATTTCAAGTCTCTCCACCTTCTGGTTTCCTTCCCTTAGACAAAGCAGGAGCTGGCTCACAGTTAATTCTTCAAATTCCACATAATTCCTGGCACCTTCTGCAAATTTGCTCCTAGATCAAAAACAGCATACAGATTAAAAGGTTTTCATCAGAAAACAAAAATGTCAAAGTATCTGTGAGTATAACTGGAACCAACTTAAAGGAACTGCTTCCCAGAACACTTTCCAAATAACTCTCATTTACAGACCAAACGCAGCTGGCCCTGCGCCCACCAGGGCCCCACTCCTCCATGCTTTCTGGGAAGCACATGCTCGCTTCCTCCAAATGGCCGGTGTGCCCACAACATCAGACCACAGGGCCCACGGGAGCAGAGGTGGCCCTGGTTTCCAGTGCCTGGCCTTCCTAGCGAACCAGCCTCAGAGAGGACCACAGTCATACAAAGGACACAAGCAGGCCTGCTGCCTGTGACACGCAGACCACCGGCCTTTCTCCTGCTTGGCGTTCTCAAGTCAAGAGAAAAAAATCATTTTTGTTTCTGATTTCAAATCATTAGAGCAGAGAAATGTAGGCACTGTTGGCATGTCAAATATTTTTCTTGATTTCAACTCTGATGAAACCAAGAAGCAGTTCATCCACAAATAAAACCAGGACCACCGCTGTGGTAACTACACCTCCCGGGTGACTGTGCCGATGCTCAGGGCATCTAACCAAGTTCATGTGTCTCATAAACAGTCAGGATTAAATGCCGGTTCCTGACTCCAAAGCTCAAACTCCAAACCCAGAAATCAATCTATGACTCCTTGATATAATAATAATAATGATAATAATAATAATAATAATAATAATAATAATGTTATGTTTATTTAATGTTTATTTTGGAGAAAAAGGGAGAGAGTGTGAGGGGGGGAGGGGCAGAGAGAGAGGGAGACACAGACTCCAGAACAGGCTCCAGGCTCTGAGCTGTCAGCCCAGAGCCTGATGCGGGGCTTGAATCCACGAACCATGAAATCACGACCTGAGCTGAAGTTGGATGCTTAACCCACTGAGCTACCCAGGTGCCCCACTTTCTTTTTTTTAAATGTTCATTTATTTATTTTTGAGAGAGAGAGAGAAAAAAAAAAGAATGAGTTGGGGAAGGGCACAGAGAGAGGAGAAGAGAGATGCCTAAGTGGGCTCTGGGCTAACAGCACAGAGTCCGGTGTGGGGCTTGAACTCACAAACTGCGAGATCATGACCTGAGCGGAAATCAAGAGTCCGATGCTTAACCGACTGAGCCCCCCAGATGCTCCCTTAATATACCTTCAAACAAGGCAAGGAAGCTGTTATTGACAAGAACTGTGGCCTGGGGGCACCTGGCTGACTCAATCAGGAGCCTGTGGCTCTTGATCTCAGGGTTTTAAGTTTGAGCCCCACATTGGGTGTAGAGATTACTTAAAAATAAAATCTTAAAAAAAAAAAAAAACCTGTGGCTTAAAAGGGGAAGTGGTTTTGGCAGGTGGATATAAATGAGGAGGAAGTGGCTTGGAAATTTCAAACAGGGCTTTTTTCCTTCCCACCACGTTCAGGAAAGTCCTCTGATACTAAAAAAGCAACATGGGAGAAAGCCGAGGAATTGTTAAGTAAAAAAGGGATAACTTTCATTGATGCCAACTGCCCTGTTGGATGTAAGAATATCATCTAACATTTATTTTCCTCCTTGTGCAAGGGCTTGGTAACATAACTGGAAAAAAAAAAAACCACCACCCATTTTGACGTTTTATAAATACACTCATTAAGTTCTAGAAACAAAAGGTATTAAAGGCCTATGAGAGAAGAGATTCCTAGAGAAATTTTCAGGTAACTGTCTCTTTCAAATAGACTAACACAGCAGTAATCCGCTCACAGAGGATGAGCCAACAGCCCACTCCGTGTGAGTGCAAGGCGCAAGAGCCCCGATTGCCTAAGTCCTCTCCCATCTCTTCCTCCGAGCTCCCCACCCCACCCCCGCCGCCACCATTTAAGATGTCTGCTTCCTGGTTATCTACTTGCAACAGGTCAATTTGAGACTCCACATGTAAGACCTCCGGAAAGTGGGTAGGACAGTGACTCAGGGCACTAACAGTCATCCCTAGAGAAGGTTACTCCCTATCAGTCACCCTGGCTTATATTTGGGACTGATCAGGGAAGAGAAAATGCTAACAACCCCCTTTATCAAGCTGGACAGCCTGGTCCAGGTCAAACTATACTGATAAATTGGGAAACAGAAGTCTTGATTAAGAGCGAGTTTGTTTTCACTTCTCATCTGATGGGAGTTGAAACACATCTAAACAGAGAGGTGAGGGGGAGTTAGCTTACAAAGGCACCCAACGTTGTTTTGATTATCAGCCAGTTTGGGCTGCAACATATTAAGTATCATTCCAACCGAACATTCTTCAAAGGTCCTGGTATAAATTAGTAAGAATTGACTTTTGCAGCCCATCATGTTTGACCTCCCAGCAAGGGTGTCTCCGACGGCCTTAGCCCTTCTTCACCTACGTGTCAACGGAATCAGTTCTTGTGGGCCCAGGACTTGTCTTGATTTCTTTCAGTGCCACATCTGCTTCTCCTTCCTGTCAAGGCAGAAATGAAAGGGATTTGACGTGCTATGTCTGCGAGAAAAATGCTTTCCCAGAAGAGAAAAAGGCAATAGATCAAGAATTTTGATGGCATGCCACCCAAGGAATCTACCAACATTTGAATGTGAGATGTTTAAATTAGGTCACTGAAATGGAACGGAACTTTACCCTTCCCTCACCCTGCACAGCCTGTCAGGATTATAAATATCTAGGGCCACGGCGTGAAGGTTGGTCTCTCATCCCGAGCAGTCAACCTGATCCCAAACACATGAAAGCTTATCTCCTCCTTCTCCTTGGCAGTTCCCTTCTTTCCCAAATAAAGGTCACACGGAGCTAGTGACAACTCCACACACCTTCCCTATACAGGCCTTTAAAATGCACGATGTTGGAACTTGCTGAAGCCACGTTGAAAAAGAGGCTGCTTTCTGTGGACAAGGCTCACACAAAGCACAAGGTTGGCTCCTATCAGAAATTCATACACACCGTGGGCCGTTTAAGGGAAGAAGAAGTCTAAGGCCCGTTAAATGATTTGAAAGACACGTATATTCCAATGAACTTGCAGGAAAAATCTTCCGAAAATGCACAAAGATAGTTAATTCTGATTGTGTACATTCTTCCTAAATCTTAGGCAGCGTTTTCTGGTTCACAGAAACAAGGCAAGAAAAGCACATTTACGCTAAAAATAACTGTCACTATCAGATCAGTGAAGGAGCATATTATGCTAACCACGTGCCCTAAAGGAAGAAGCCTCATTTGGAAACTTCTGATATGCTCTTGGGACTTCCTGAATTTTGCCAGTTATTTGCAGAAGGTGAAAGCTGTTTGATCAAATTTGTTTCATAATCTTTGGTCATCTGCAGAAAGGGCACTCTACTCTGGCAGAGCGTGCTTTCCACTTGGTATTTTATTTATCATTTTGTTAATGTTTATTTATTTCCTAGAGAGAGACAGACCAGACAGACAGACAGACACAAAGCGTGAGCAGGGAGGGGCAGAGAGAGAAAGGGAGTCACATGGTCCGAAGCAGGCTCCAGGCTCCAAGGTGTCAGCACGGAGCCCAACGCGGGGCTTGAACCCACGAACTGTGAGATCATGACCTGAGCCGAAGCCGGATGCTTAACCAACTTGAGCCACCCAGACACCCCTCCATTTGGTATTTGAATTCTCCTGATTTCAGCTGCCATTAGTGCACCCAAAGATTTATTTGGGAGCATGTTTGGCAAGGTTATTGAGAGTCATCGCCCCATCCTATTACTCTTTAGGGCAGCAAATGAGTTGGAAATCAGAGACAGTCGTGCATTGCACTAGTAATTCTGACACGCCCAGAAGTTTAGCCCTTTACGAGTTCCCCACTACTTATTTCCAAGGTACGTTTTTCTCTCTCAGAGACACGATCTCTTTATCAGATGTACGGTTTGGCAAAGCTCAAATGCCAGTGTGTATCACAGAGGACCTCGTCCTTAGGTGTTCTTCTCCCTCATTAATCCATCTTTTTTAGCAGCGATGAAGGGGAGGCCCTTCCGTGGTTCATCTACCTGCGCTGCTCTTCGGCCAGACCACGTGCATACCCAGATGTGGCCACAACAGATGCCACTCATGTGCTCAGGAACAGGCTGGCACCTGCCACTTCACTGTGTCACTGAGCTCACTGCATTTTCGGTTCCACAGAAATGTGTCAGACACTGTGGGCTTTAAACTCCGCTCTTGGAGGCACCCGGGCAGCTGCTATTAGAGGTGGGGGCGAAGTCAAGGTCGACCCTCACCCATAACTCCAGTGGCTCTGCTCTTTTCTCCACTTCTTGTTTTTAACAAACCACAGTTCCTTGTAAGACTCGTTGGAAAAGGAAGGTTCTATTATTTTAAAGACATCAGTTTCCTGCATCGGATCATGATTCTACTCACCCAAGGCCAATGCTGACCACCCCTAAGGACCCGGCTTGAAAAAGTTGTTTTGTTTTTTTAGATCTGTCACAAAATGTCTGATTTGTCAGGACACATGGAAAGAAAAAAAAACCACCTCTTTTGTCATAAAAGGTAATCAACATTCTTCCACTGCAGCTACGATAAATCTCACGAGCATTATGTTATGCTTATAAACAGGAGCCAATTTATCTTGGCGATGGCGATGCTGAAATTCCCCCACCATCTAGGTGTCTACGTGAGGTTTTTTGTAATTTGCTTAAAACAAAATCAAAACCAGGACACTTACAGCCATCCTGATTTCAACAAAGGAGTCTTCTGAGGGGCCGCCTGAGTTCAGCTTGAGCTGTAGTTCAGACACGATGCCCAGCAGATCTGCCTTTTCAGCCTGAAGACGGGCCACCTGGGTCTTCAGCTGTTCCATTTCCTGGTCTGCTTCTGCCTTGGGGACTTTGGGGTCCCCAGTGGGGTCCTGGAAATGACGAGAAGCCAAGTGAGTCAGTGAATCAAACGAACACCTGGTCGTCAAACTCAAGTGTCCCCACACCCCACGGCAAGACAATTATGCTTTATGGTAGAAAATTCTAGCCTTTTCTTGGAGATGTATTTTTACGTAAATTTTAAAAAAGAAAAATTTACGTAATTTTATTACATTCAAATAGAAAATTAAAATAACCTCATGACAAAAAGGAAAGACTTCCTCAGCACACTGGAATAATCTGATACGAAGATAACCAGTCAGACTTCGACGATGGTAAACTTGTAAGCTGTAGTCCAAAAATCTCAGGAAATAAGGGCATCAACCTCTTATCTTTTGTTCTTCCTACAAATGCAGAACCCCCCACGCCCCCATACTTGTCATGTATAGTTAGAAGCCAAAGCATCAAGACGTTTCATTACTTGACACATAAATGGCCAAAGACAACAAAAGTTCCAAATTTCTCCGGGGCACGCAGGCCGGCTGCTATAATACACTACATTGGTGTTTTCAGGTTGCTAAAAGTAAGCCTGGTGAGAAATAAAAACTGAAAATTCAGAGGCTGCCACCAAAGGTAAAAAAAATTAACTTCTGGCCTATATACACATTAGTAATAAATATTCACCTTTCACTACTATCAAGCATGCGCTGCTTTCCTCTTGTTGTAATTATTGCACGTGGCATAAGAGAGAGACCCTGTTTAGATGCAATGCTTGCACTTGGGAGTAAGGAAAACAGATTTCAGTCCACACCCTGCTAATCGCTCTGTGTGCGGCCATGAGTGCATTCACTTAATGTCTTGGCCTATTTTGGCCTCTTTTGGTTTTCTTTTTCTTGGGTTAGAAAGGAAGATGGTGGCACCAAATGGTTTCGTTGGTCTCTTCCAGCTGTGACCTTGTAGACCTCTCTGGTTTCCTCCTCAGGAAACCTTCGTTGCTTCTATACACATGGGACCACCAGAAATACATACCTGAGATCATCAGAGATTTACAACACATCAGAAAGTTCTCTCTCTCTCACACACACACATACACACACACCCCATGTCTCTAATAGATTTCCTGAGGAACTGTAAACCGACCCAGAGGCTCTGAGTGGAACCAAGAAAGCACCAGAAAGAATACATACGGATGATAAACCAGCTGGTCCAAGAAATAGTAGAAAGTGGAAGGAAACGGATTAATATGCAACAAGAGAGTGCCCCTCACACCAGTGAGATCGTGCTGTTCCTTCCCCAGGGGCCTTCCCTTGCCATGAAACCACCACAGGCCTGAGAGAAAAGAACTCATGGTGAACCTGAGGAGTCAGGCATGCAAGGAATGGTTACCAGCCTGTGCATCCTGTCTCGGTCATGACCCGTCCCAAAGAAACATAAATGTGCAGGGACAGAAACAATCAAAGGAGAGGCACTCTTGGCCTGGAACCAGGAGGTAAGCAGGTGAGGGTGAGGCCACGCCCTATTAGGAATCTTCGCATTTTCCTGTTGGACCCGTCTGAGGACATCTTCTAAATGGATTTTTAAAACAATCTTGGCATAAAGGGTAGGAAACAGAGTTTTAACCAAGTGTCTGAGGACAAGGGATATAAAGCCACGATTCTGGAATCTCAGACTGTCAGGTTAATTTCCTTTTTTGCAAGGGTGAGGATCTCTTCACTATCCTTGGGCAATTCGGCATCTACTTATTTGGCCGCAAAACCTTGTAAAATAACATGTTAAATCTCTTCATTTTACTAATGAGACCCTTTCCATTCCCTTCCTGGACTAGAATGCGTACATTTTATTCTCTCCGATCAACCCCAACTCCATCATTTGTTAACGTCTTTTATTGACGTGGCAGGCACGTTGAGTGCCTGCCATTGACTTTCATGCAACACAATGACTCTACATCTTGTGTGCTTGTATCATGTCTCCATCACGCTGTCCTGGAAATCTGCCCAGGTGAACATGCCATTTCATAATCCTAGAAGAAACATCCATCTAATGACCTCTGCCTCACAATCTGTACAATTAAAAGTTAAAACGTTCTCTGTACAGATGATTATAATTTATGATTCCATGAAATTGGACAGAATAATTAATACCTCAGCCTCACCCTGACAATCAGAAGGCAGGTCTCCAAAGGAAATTCCCTACTCCCCTTTCCTTGTGTGGCACAGAACACGTGAGAGGCTCTGGTGGCTAGAGGGGACTCCCTGGGGAACCAGCAGCGAGGATGGGTCAGCAAGAGTGAGAAAAGTCAGAGGCTCTGAGGGCTTCAAGTCAGGAAAATGAGAGCCTAAATTTTACAAATCACCTCAACTGGTCCATGAAAAAAAACAGCAAAGAGGAGGCAGGGAAGCAATAGGCAGGCCTGGGAGGCGTATTTTGGGGGGAAAAGCTGATGACCAAGGGTTTTATAGAGCTGTAAGTATCTCTGTCCAAGCACCCAAGTCCTGTGTCCCAAGGACTCCCTTCTGAGTCTTGCTTATAGCTTGTTTAATCTGATCTTCTGCATTGCAAGAAGCTGTCCAGAGCTCCAGCTCTGTTCTCAACTTCTTCCAATAGTGGGACGTTTTAGGAAAACCCATAGGCAGACTATTTCAAGCAAAGTGCTTCTGGAAGCTTCTTTCTGAGCTCCAGTGCAATAGTCCCCAGCAGGCTGATGCCAGCTGTCAGCTCACATCCCAAAGACCAAGGAGGAAAACAGTGTAAGATATTTTCTTCCAGAGAGTAGAAAATACATTCATATATCCCACCAGGTGATCATGTCTTCAGAGCATTCTACCTCGAAAATATTTCGACACTGAGAGACTTCCCCCAAAGTAGTGACTTAATGCTCTTTGAAGTGTAAGACAAGTTCAAGCATCAGATGTGAAGAGTCTTATCAGCAATGAATCGTTTCCCATACACACATAAGTTTATGAAAGCAGAATGTCCACGCTGTCTCATGAGCAGGGATTGAGGAGTAAAGCACTGACCTAAACCACAATATTTCTCTCAACAGCTCTTCATTCTTTAGATTATTCCAGCTTGTCCTCTTCTCATTACTTTCTTTCCTTTATCTTTCTTTCTTTGCACTCTTTACCCAAGAAATTAGAGGTCAGTGGAGCTCAAGGTATCGCAAGGAAATCACTGATGCCTCAATTCCATCCTCCCTGAGCCAAACCAGTGCTCCATCCTTCTGAGGGCTGCTAAGTTCAACGTTGGGGAGAAAGTGACGAGCAGATGTCCATCCTAATGAACAATGTCCAGTGAGCCTTAGAATATGGGCAGACGCTTCAAGTGTGTTCTGACACAACCTGTTTTCTTCCACTCGCATCTTTAACATCCACTCCCAGCTGGGGGCACTTTTCTCCGGTTCTCTGGGTCGATGAAAATGTAGCAACCCTACAGCCTCCTGCCACAACATGATGTGTCGCACCATTTTCCAAAAGTAAATGTAAAATGTAAATTGAGGAATCTCTATGGTAGACTGGGGGGAAGGACAAGATCGGTAAGCAAAACTTCCCAGTCATAGATTTTGCTTTTTTAATGCTTATTTATTTTTGAGAGAGACAGGGAGAACGCCGAACGTGCGCAGGGGAGGGACGGAGAGAGAGAGGGAGACACAGAACCTGAAGGCGGCTCCAGGCTCCGAGCTGTCAGCACAGATGCAGGGCTTGAACTCACAAACCAGGAGATCATGACGTGAGCCAAAGTCGGACGCTTAACCAACTGTGCCACCCAGGTACCCCCCGAATCATAGATTTTTTTTAATGCAATTTTATATCAAAGACAGAAACTAAAAGCTAACCCTTGGGTGGTTCTAGGCACAGGTTATCTGCACCGTCTACAATGAATACAAAATAGTGATTTATAACTACAACCTTCTTTTGACTATAATCACTATGGTCAAAGCTGTACAAACTTCCTTGCCCCAACAGAAATCATACACGACCCTTGAAGTTGCAACCAACCTTCTCAGCAAGAACAGTATTTTCTTTCTTTTTATTTATTTTTTTCAAATGTTCATTTATTTTGAGAGAGAGAGTCCCAAGCAGGCTCCACACCGTCAGCGTGGAACCTGACGTGGGGCTCAACCCCATGACTCCTGGGATCATGACCTGAGCTGAATCAAGAGTTGGATGCCCAACTGCCTGAGCCATCCAGGTGCCCCAATTTTTTCAAGATGATACAAAACACTTGTCTAGATGGGACGCCTGGGTGGCTCAGTCGGTTGAGGGTCCGACTTTGACTCAGGTCATGATCTCGCTGTGATTTCGAGCCCCACGTCGGGCTCTGTGCTGACAGCTTGGAGCCTGGAGCCTGCTTCGGATTCTGTGTCTCCCTCTCTCTCTCTGCCCCTCCCCTGCTCATGCTCTGTCTGTCTGTCTCTCTCTGTCAAAAATAAATAAACATTTTTAAAAAATTAAAAACAAAACAGAACTCGTCTAGCCTAAACCGTAAAAAGTTTGATCTAGAAGTCTAGATGAGTAAGATTCCACTCTAAATGTAACTAAAAGAAAATAAAATCGTAACAGATCAGTCTGCTCACTCACCTCAAGGGGCCTTTCTGTTTTCCCTTTTAGTTTTCTGAGTTCTTCCTTCAATTTTTCATTTTCATGACTCAAAGCCACGAGACGCTCTTTGGCTTCCTTGCTCTGTATCTCAAAAAATAGGCGTTCTTCCTTCTGTTTCTCTGTCCAGGCTGAAAGCTCTTCAAATCGCCCTTTCATAGCCTGATTATTCAGCTTCATGGCTTCTGTAGGGGGTTCAGAGTGAGAGTGTCGCGCATCAGACTTGACTGGATGAATCCCACCTCCCTCTGGACTACCCTCACCCTGTAGCCCGGAATCCAAAGAAGCCGTACTTGGCCTGGGCCCCAGACTCAGCAGCAAAAAGACTGTAGCAAGGTGAGTGGTTTTTGTTTCCAGATAGGACGAGGGGGTCCAATGTTGTTTCTCGTCCTCCAAAGACTCCAGAAAACAAAACTGGTTTGGGTGCCTCTGCTACAGCCCACGTGGTAGGGCACAGCCTCCAACACCGGTCCTGCTAGAAGCCACGGCCTGAGACACTGGGATGCTCTCTGTGAACAAGGGCATGTTTAGGACTAACTCTGGAATAATAGCAGCGTTTCTCCCTGTTTCCTTCTAAACGGGCAAAATGTCACTGTGCCATTTCCCTGAGGTACGTAAGTGCGTTTTATTCTTACCTGCATCCCGAGGTGAACATTGGCAGCAATGTCAGCCTTACCAAAAGCTAAACTCTGGGCTCTCTCTCCAGGTAGTGCAATGGAGAGAAGGGAGCTCACCATCAAGGCTTTTCGCAAAGAGAGGCGGTTCACGAAGGCCCAGGGTAGATGGAGAACACGGGGGCCGGCGGCCGCTCACCTTTGAGCTGATGGTTCTCGGTCAGGAGCTCCTTCATCTGCTGTAGCAGTTCCTCTGGTGTGAACGTGTCCAGATTTGGGTGGGCCAGGTTGGGGGGTCCATTTCCTGTGGTCTCACTGGGGCTGTCCCCCTTTTCAGTCAGGCAGCTAAGTGGTTGGTGGGACATGGCAGAAGGACCTATGGAAAAGTCACAGGCTGAAAACAGAGCTGTCTTCCCTCTGCGAGGGGTCCCCACGAGCCCCGCAAATCCACTGGCAATTGCTGGTGAGTTTTCCAAAAGGTGCCCACTTCCCCTCCAATTAGATTTTGGACATTTTTGATTCTTCCTTTAAAAAAAATTTTTTTAATGTTTATTTTTGAGAGAGACGAGGGGGGGAGAGGGAAAGGGGGAGAGGGAGAGGGAGACACAGAATCCGAAGCAGGCTCCAGGCTCCGAGCTGTCGGCACAGAGCCCAACATGGGGCTTGAACTCACGAACCGTGAGATCATGACCTGAGCCGAAGTAGGACGCTCAACTGACTGAGCCATCCAGGCGCCCCTGATTTTTCCTTTTAAACAAAACATGTCTGTGCTAGCTTCAGTATGTATGCAAGTACATGTGCGTCCATGTGAGTGGGGGGCAGCGAGGAGCTGCGACATGAGGAAGAAAAGAAAAGCATGACAATGTGATAATTAGGACAGAGGGATTCATGAAGGCTTTAAACATGTATTTGTAGACATGGGTAAAGTATCATTAAATTGGTTTTCCCAAGCAAATCTTTGAAGTTCAAATCTCTCTGCTGTGGGTGAACTGCACAGAAAGTGAATTATATGTCAATAAAGCTGTTTAAAAAATCTCTAGAGGCGCCTGGGTCTCTCTGTCTCTCAATAATAAATAAACGTTAAAAAAAATTTTTTTTTTAAATCTCTGTATTCCAGCTCTTATATTTTTGGCTAAGAGAAAAGGAAGAACTAATGCATTCTAGATGCTTCCTACATGCTGAATCACTGCACCAGACACGTCAGTTTCTAATCCTCACTCAAACTCAGCTAGATGGCTATTTTGCAGGAGACAGAGCTGAGTTTGCAGAGGTTTTATAGCTCGTCCAAGGTCACGTAAGAAGAGGTGTGACCGGGCGTTAGTGATGATTCCAAAACCCAGCCCTGGAATACAATAAAGATGCTACTGAATATTTAGGCTTCAGAGTTCAACAGTTCGGCAAAGCACACTTACAAGATGAAGAGATCCTGCTTACTGACGGCATGTTCTGAGGATATTTTAAGCACACCACTTTATTTTGTAGAGGGGTCAATGTGGTCATAAATAAGACAGACGAGTGTATCCCAAGTCCATTTATACATGTCCTACCACCTGGGCAAACAGAGGAATCTCTTCTAACAACTGGCTACATGCTATAGGCAAATGTTTTCTTTTTGGGGCTTCGTGAAGATGATGATAAGTCTTTTCACGACAACTACAGAGTCACCAAGCTGGTCAGTGGAAGGCACAGAAGGCTACGCGTGCTCTCTCTGATACATCACTGGCTCAGGACATCTACGTATGCTCACGGTGACCACATGTTAAAATGCAACCACACACAGGTGCCTCTTCCCCATCCCAACAGGAGGCAAGGCCTGGGACTCTCTGGGGGTCCCCTGAACCCGAGAGCCTGGCGACTTGTTTTTGGTCTGAAGGAAGCTGCACGCAGGACAGCAGGCCCTGACTCCTCCCCTGTGCGGCCAGCTTAAGGAGAGGCCTTCTCATGAAACGCTTTAATGAGGATAGGGATTTATGAAGTGAAAAACACTGACGAAACAGGCTGCTCAACCGTGAGCCTTTAGAAGGTATCTATGGTTCATGTAGCCTAATACATTTACAAGAGAGGTGTGCCCTTGGCCTTCGGTGACTGGAATAGACTGCTTTGGTTTTCCCCAATAATTTGGACAAAAACAATTTGGAGAATGTCAGTTTCTGGCTTTCCATAGCATTCATTGTTGCACAGTATGAGGTCAGAGCTAACGCTTAATAAACATGGATTTTTCCTAAATAGCCGAGGAATACTAAAATTCTAGGTAAGAGACCTAAAGATACAGTCCTCGCGACGTGTACCATCTAGTTGCCAATGTTCAATTTGCTCAGCTCTTCAGTGATTATACTTTGCAAAAGTAAATGAGGGGCGCCTGGGCAGCTCAGTCAGCTTTTGACTTCAGCTCAGGTCATGATTTCACGGCTCGTGAGTTCGAGCCCCACAATCGGGCTGTCTGCTGTCAGCAAAGAGCCCACTTAGGATCCCGTCTCCCTCTCTCTCTCTCTCTCTCTGCCCCTCCCGCCTCGTGTGTGTGCATGCTCTCTCTCAAAAATAAATAAACACTTGAGAAAAAAAAAAGTAAATGGAAACATTTCACGGATGTTTTTTAAGAAGCCCCCAGGCAGTTCTCCAGAGATGTGCTTGGTTTCATTTTACTGTATACACATTTCTCCTTCATGGTTTTCCAAGAGAGAGGAAAGGGGAGAGAAAAGGAGTGAAGAGGGGAAGGGCAGGCAGGGGAGAGGAGAAGAGAAAGATTTTCCCTTGAAAATTATTCAGGTATTTTTCCTCCTCGACTTTCTTTACACCCCTCCCGAGGCTTTAAACACAGCTCTTATAAAGTTAAAACTGGTTGTGGCTCTTCTAACTTTTTCAGGTTGCCCAGATTTTCTAAGGACATGAAGGGAACAAGCAGGCTCATGCTAAGGAGGATGGTAGAAAAAACACTGGGTACCTGAAACAGATGTGTGACCTCTTATGATGATTTACTGACCTGTCTAGCAAATGATGATCATTTCAGTTGCTTCCAGCCATCAAACACCAGGAAAAGTATTCTTGAGTTTCTATGAAGATCGGAATCCAACCCTACCATCCAATACCCCAGCACCCTCATGGCCATGCCACCCTCTTTCACTAATACATAGGCCTGTCCTAATCACAGCAAGCTCTTCATTATCCAGCATTGTAGGAAAGACTTGGTCATTCAAATGTCATGGTAAATAAGTTAGCATCTATGCCAAACATAAGCATGTACATACTCGTTACCAAATTTTTACTAAAAGCAATTTAATCGCTTTTCAGGGATTCAAAGAGTACCTTATGATTTTAGAGTATTTTGGGAGCATTGTTATGAGTTTATGAGTACACTGCCTATGTGAAATGTCTATTGGTAGAATACCTGTTAGAGAAAGCTGAATTTTCTAAGTCTTTAACACCACCTGATGCCGCATTCAATTGAACAAACACAGAATGCATTATAACTTCTTGCACACATCTTCAAAGGTTATAGAAATTGGAACTAAGCTATTTATTCCAAGTTTCTATCTAGTAACAGATTTTCTTTCTGTTTTTTTTAACCGAATTTCCCATAAAAATCCAAATAATCTGGATCTAAAAGGTGTCATTTCTTTTTTTCTTTTTCATTTTGTTAAAAAAAAATTTTTTTTAACGTTTATTTATTTTTGAGACAGAGAGAGACAGAGCATGAACAGGGGAGAGTCAGAGAGAGGGAGACACAGAATCTGAAACAGGCTCCAGGCTCTGAGCTGTCAGCACAGAGCCCGACGCAGGGCTCGAACTCACGGACCTCCAGATCATGACCTGAGCCAAAGTAGGCCGCTTAACCGACTGAGCCACCCAGGCGCCCGCCCCTCTTTTTCATTTTGAATGTAAGTTCTATGTCCAACATGGGCCTTGAACTTGTGACCCCAAGGTCAAGAGTTGCATTTTCTACCAACTGGGCCAGCCAGACACCACTGAAACATGTGTCTTTTTCCTTCCTTCCTTTCTTTCTTTCTTTCTTTCTTTCTTTCTTTCTTTCTTTCTTTCTGTGAGTGGGGGTGGAGATGGGAGGAGTTGAGGGAGAGAAGGAGAGGGAGAGAGATGGGGAGAGGGAGGGGGGAGAGGGGGAGGGAGAGAGAGAGAGAGAGAGAGAGAGAGAGAATCCTAATTGGCTCCAGGCCTAGTGCAGAGGCTCAATCTCACACGGGGCTCAATCTCATGATCCTGAGATCATGACCTGAGCTGAAATCAAGAGTCAGATGCTTAACCGACTGAACCATCCACGGGTCATTTCTTTTCTTTCTTTTTTTTTTTTAATATAACTTATTGTCAAGTTGGCTAACATACAGTGGATACAGTGCGCTCTTGGCTCTGGGGGTAGATTCCCGTGATTCATCGTTTACATACGACACCCAGTGCTCATCCCAACAAGTGCCCTCTTCAATGCCCATCACCCATTTTTCCCTCTCCCTGGCACCCCCATCAACTCTCAGTTTGTTTTCTGTATTTACGAGTCTCCTATGGTTTGCCTCCATCCCTCTCAGTTTGTAACTATTTTCTGAAATGTGTCATTTCTAAGCAAAGGTGGTATTTAACGACAGAAGGGCAAATGAATTTAGCACGGGATCTGTCAAGATTCCACCCATGAGGAAGAAGGCGAACTACCTGGACGGTGGAAGTTCAAAGGCAAAATCTCCTAGATTTTATTCCAAGATCTGGTATTTGAATTCTTAAATATATTATCATTTTTAATTCCAGAGGTCAAGTAATTATAGCAATGACTTGACTTTGTGGGCATGATGGGCACGAGCTTAAATTTCATTTACGAGTTGGCTTTACAAATGATCCAGTCCAGACATTCAATGCAAGAATGTCTTGTTTGATTTCCATGGAAGACGGTCATATAGAGCAATCTTGAAAGACTTCAATGACAGAAAATACGTGCAATGACTTTAGCAGGCAACTGCCTGTTCTATTAGAGGATGGTTCGTATCATCAGAAACTCATTTTGTATCGGGCACAAATCTGCCTTGTACTGTCCACCCACTGGATGTTGGGCCAGTGAGCATAATACAGAAAAGTCCAGGCCCTTACCCCGGTATGTCTGATGTTCCAAAGTTGCTTAATAAGCATTCATAGGTTCAACCACCACATGGATAAATTAATTTTAAAACAGTGAAAATCTTATTTCTTGACCAGAGACAATAGGTGGCTATCGGCAAATTCTGATTTGGGATCACAAAGGACTAAGAACCCACGACTGCATCAACCAGAACCATCATCATCCTGGGAAAAGAATTCAAAGTATGTATCCTATCAAGGGGGAAAAAGAAGCTTCACATTTTCTGCCAGAAATGGTATTCTGATTTTGGGATTTGCTGACATACAGAAAATGGAAATAACCTCATCACATAAGGCAGGGCCGTGGGAGTCATTCTTGTTTCTCCATTCCCTCTTATCCCGAGTCTAATGGGTCACCAAGTCCTGGCACTTGTTACCTCCTCCCCGTCCCTGCTAGCTTAGGTCCAGCCCTTCTTGCTGTCTCAATTACAGCAATGATGTGCTCCACAGAGTATGGGATTTTTGTCTATTGTGTCCACCACTGTGTCCCCAGCACCTAGAAAACTTGCTGAAGAGTCTCCTACATGGTCTGACTTCTGTCTTTCCACCGCAGGTCCACCACCGCCCTGGTTTCTTACCCCGCATGAAGCCACCGTCCTGCTTAAAACCCTTCCCATATAACACAGAGTTCCAGCTCCCAAGTGGGAAAAACTCGGCATTCCAGAGTCTGGCCCTCCCTCACCCACCGGTATCATCTCCTGTCACCATGCCACTCGCACCCGAGGCACATTGAACAGCTCACAGTTCCCTGCCTTCTTCTGCTTCTCTGCCCTTACCTCTGTTCTCCCCTCTGCACAAAATGTGTGGTACCACTTTTGCCCTGGCAAATACCCACCAGACAGTTCGATGTCCAGTTGAAATAGACGTCCTGTGAAAAACAAACTTTTCTTTCCTCTAAGTACTCAGTAGCACTTGGCCCTGGCCTTGGCCTGCAAAATCCTATAATCATCCCTCGCCAGTCTATCTTCCATCAAACTTCCGCGAAGGTCTCCATGTTATTCTCCCTTGGGAGCAGCACACAGCAGGCTCTCAGCAAATGTTTGTTGAAATGAAATGAAAATACAGTGTAACGAAGTATTTTAAGGACTAACACTTACAAAACACTTTCTGCTATGTAGGTGACAAACCCAGCATGTGAGTACTACGACTTTTTCTACAGTTCCGTGGCACTCATTTCCAGATTCTTGAACTTGACTTTTAAAACTCGTTTTGAAAATTAGTACTGTTTCTTCTATCATCCCCAAAGGTATCTGGGTATCATTTGGGAATATACATTCTATTATTCAACCCTCATATGCGTGTCAAAACGAAAACCTTTAAAATAATATCTTCCTCTGAGTGAAATACATTTCACTTTTTAAAAACAGACAGCAGTTTCTTCATTTTCATTTGGATTCACTAATCCCATAGATGCCAAACAACATCTCAAATAGTTCAAGTCTCTATAAAATTCAGAAAAAGCTGGGCTTGGAGAAAAAAATACCCATTTTCCCTACTTAAGGGAGAGGGTTCTGTAGAAAGTAATACAAAAGCCAGTTCTTTTCAAGAGTTAAGTTGGGTGTTTTTTGTTGTTGTTGCTTTTTTTGGTACTTAAAGTAAGTTTCCTTTTTTTTTTCTTTTTTTTTAGTATTTATTTATTTATTATTATTTAATTTACATCCAAGTGAGTCAGCATATAGTGCAATAATGATTTCAGGAGTAGAATCCAGTGATTCATCCCCTACATATAACACCCAGTGCTCCTCCCAACCAGTGCCCTACTGGATGCCCATGACCCATCTAACCCACCCCCCACCCAAAACCCCTCCAGCAACCCTCAGTTTGTTCTCTGTATTTAAGAGTCTCTTCTGGTTTGTCCCCCTCACTGTTTTTATATTATTTTTGATTCCCTTCCCTTCAAGAATAAAGTTTTTGTTTTTTTTGGAAGGATCAATTGGATTCCATAGCACAATGTACAACCTGAGATCGGTTACCAAAAAAAAAAAAAAAAAAAAAAAAAAAAGAAAGAAAAGAAAAGAAAAGAAAAAGGGCTATTTTTATAATGTTGCACATAATATACAAAGAACCACTAAAACCGGCCCAGGAGAATAACAGAAAATATTCACCCGGAAGATTCCAGTCACTGTCCTGTCTCTCCAGGCCATATTTAAAGTTCACTTACTTTGTTCATTTCAGGGCAGTTCCTAGCCTTAGCCTCTGCTCCAAGATCTCTCCTCCTCAGTACAAACCAGGCATTTCCTGGGAAGTAGCCAGGATTCCCTAGCTCTTCTCTCCCTCCCCAAAGAGCAGGGGGGGGGGGGGTTCTCCTGTTAATAGTGCTGCCTTGCTTAACCAGATCTGAGGCTTTTCAGGTCCTAGCACCACCTTACTGGTCTACGGCTCTGTTTTCCATTTCATCCTTCAACAAGTTCTGTGGCATACATTTCCATACAACAGTTTTCCCGGGAAAGGACGCCAGACCAGAATCTGGGTTTCGTTTTCTCTTTGCAGTGTTTTAGTCTTCCTCCAGCTTATGCTTTTCCGACAGTAAGAACTATTCTTTGGGGTTCTCAGCCTCAACTAGTATTCATAGCTATGTGTGTTTATACACACAAACGCATAACATACACACATGCTCTCCTGGACACAACGGCTGTTCAGAAGTCCCACTGCCTTAGAGACAGGTCACTTGTTCCTTAGTGTTCCTGGGCTATCTCATAAAGCTAGGTTCGTTTTTGTTTCTCAAAGGTGTACCTTTAACCGCTTCCCATATATTGAGGAACTGGCTGGCTGATCATTCCCAACCTGCGGGAGGATGTCATCCTCAAACCATCTCCGTGACCTACAGAGGAAGTCACCTGCGGCCAGCCGGGCCGGTAAAAAAAGGGGGAGGGCGCTTTGCGATGGCCGCCCCGCAGCCCTTTCCCACCAGGTCAGGTTCCGCCCAGGCCTGGAAACCCTCCCAGGAGAGGGGACGCCCCACCCCTCGCCACCCACACCCCCACAGGCTCGGGGTCGCACGGAAGGGGGCCGCGGAAACAGCTTCCAGGGCGGAAAGGGGGTCGCCGCCTTGCCGAGCCCCTGCCCGCCCCCTGCCCCCACTCACCCAGCGCCGGCGCTCCGGACTCTCTCGGGGTCACTCCTTCCTCGGCATCGTGCCCGCAGGGGGAGGGCTCCGGACCCGGATGCAGACGCCGACCGGGGCACCGGCCGGGGGCGGCGGCGGGCGCTCGGGGAGCCTCAGGCCGACTTGCTGCCTCGCGACACCGCCCAGCGCAGCTCAGCTGACCGCCGCGCCGGCCTCCGCGCCTCCGCCGGGAATTTCCCGGGCCCCGCCCCCGAACCCCCGCCCCCCGCCGCCGCGCCCCCCCCAGGCCACGCCCCTCCTCTCCCCAGCGCGCGTTCCCCGTGGGCAGAGTCAGAGCCCAGCAGCTCGCGTAGGTCGAGGTCCCCGCCCCGGGAAATGAGGGTTACCCTCGTCAGTGGACTGCCGTGACCCGCGGCGCTCATTTAAACAAATTAAAGGAAGTGTGTGGGGGCAGTCTTCTGCGCTGGAGTCGCAGGGGCTCGACCGAAAAAGGAGGACGATCCCAGGCATCCTTGGATGGAAGCCTCGATCTCTATTTAAAAGCTTTACATCTAGGTATAGTTAACTGAGCATGCTTGACTTTCCATCCGGCTTTGCCCTTAAAATAGACCTTTAATTAAAGACACAAAGCCTGCAGGGTGCTTCTTGGGCCCTTTGTTCCCAGGGAGGAGGCCAGCTGTTGACGCCTGGATGAATCAGGTGTGCCAAGGCAGGTGGGATTACTGGATGACCTGGACTGTTTGGGGAAGTAGAAGTATTGATTTACTCTACCGGAGGAGGGAAGATACCTCCGGATTAGATAGAATTAAAAGGGAGGAAACAAGACGAGGAAGGAGGAAGGACCACAATAATTTGCAACCTAAGCGCCGAAAGAAGGGTTGAGCAAGGACGCAGACGCAAGACCCCGAAGGCAGCTGATAGCGAGGTCAAGGCGGTGCAGCCGGTGACCCCGCAACGGGACCCCTATGCCAGACAAGAAAACAGAAATGGGAGAGGGGGAGGAAGGGAAAGGGGAGGGTCTGAGAGCAGGTTTGTGCCAAAGATCAGAAAGGACTTAAAATACCAGACATATACCCTAATCTGTAACTCTTGACCCCAGAAGAAGTCTGAGGTTTTATTCTCTGAACTGCAAAATATCAGGCACTAACCCTAACCCTACCCCCTAACCAAGACAAAAACAAAACAAAACAAAACAAAACAAAACAAAACAAAACAAAACAA